GGCCGGTCACGTGTCCCGCAGGCCCGACGTCATAAGTACGGGACTGCTCATCCCACGTGACTCGGCTGCTGTGCCCCCCCCCCCCCCCCCGGCTCTTGCCTCATGGAGGGGGGGGCGAGCCCCTGGAGTGGGAGACCCCGTGTTAGCCTTGTAGCTCAGCGATGCTAACACGCGTTCGGCCGAAGCACACACACCACTACTCACCAGATCCCTCCGCCTGACCTCTCTCTGGGAGGGCATAGCCTGAACCAGTGAACCGGAGCTCGTAGCTCGCGTAGCGCACTGCACACCCTGCTCTGGGGGCTGCAGGCCTAGCGAAGCAACGTTATGTGCTCGAGAAGTAACACAATCAGAATTCACAAGGTTATTTGACATGTTACATACCCCCAAATGAGACTCAGACAGCGAGTAATGATGAAATGCCGGTCGGCCTTTATTGAAAGAATTCTTCCCACCCCGACCTCCTCTGCCATAGGGAGGTCGGCGGTGGGTGCGTTGGTCCCACGAGCCTCCCCTGGGCCTGTCTGGACCCGGGGGCCTCGTTGAGGGGGGACGATAGGCCACAGAGCGTGGATATGGGTCAGGGCGCCTCCCGGGCGAACGCTCCCTGCCTCTGTCCCAGCTCCGCGCTGGTGGGCGGGCCTCGCGCCTCGGCGCTAGGTGCTGGGCTAGGCTAGCCGAGTCCTTGGCTGCGGTCTCCAGTCTAGCCACAGGGTCTGCATGTCTGGACCGAAGAGGGACGTCTGGGAGATAGGCAGGTCCAGCAGCTGCCAGCAGCTGCCTCTTCTCCGCCTCCCTGAGTTTGGCTAGCCCAAGCCAAAGGTGCCTGGCCCCGACTTGGGCTGCTGCCATGGAGCGGCCGCCATCGACAGCTAGCACCTGGCACATGCGCAGGATCGCCGCTGAAGTGGTCCTCGCCTGCGATAGGAGGTCTCCACTGAGCGCCTGGCCAGAAGAGAGCGACCTATCCAGGGCCCCCGTGATGAAGGCCATGTTATTTGCCACAGCGACGACCTGTGCCGCATTGGCGTAACATCTGTCCAGCATAGCCAAAGACATCCTGTCCCGCTCGGAGGGAAGGAGAGGTCTGGTGCCGGGCCACACGGATGCAGAGGGCTGCAGGGCCATGCGGACCGAATCCTCGATGTCCGGGACCCCGCCGGTCCAGGACCAGTCCTGCACGCTGCAATACATGCCGTAGCCCAAAGCGGGCCTCTTGGCCGCAAGGGGCTTTGGCCACTCACGTGTCGCGTAATGGACGATCGAGTCCATCCCCGGGCACAACGTGGGCTGTATCCTCCTCCTCCCTCGAGTGGTGGCGTAACCAGAGGGAAGCGGTCCGGCTCCGGGTTCGACACCACCTCGTCCAGCGTGAGGAGGGAGCCGACCTCCGAAACCTCTTTGTCCTCACAGTCACCCCACTCCGCGGGCACGGGTGGAAGGTCGAGTGGGGCCCAGTCAGTCTCAGACTCCTCGTCCTGAGAGGAGTCCGGACGGGGCACTGCAGCGGTCGAGGAACGCACGCCTGCGTTCGCTCTCCTCTTTGGGGAGAGCGAGACACGAGGTGCAGGTGGCGCTCAACGCCGCATGGCCCGGGCCCAGGCACATGAAGCAGCTGGAGTGCTGGTCCGTGCGCTGGAGCCTGACTCGACACGTCGAGCAACGACGACGTCCGACGCCGGAGGACGAAGGGGAACTCGGACGAGCATCAGAAGACATCTTTCTCTGGAATGAAGTAAGTACTGGTAGATCTCAATCGGCGCCAGAGTGAAAGACGGGGTGCGGCCTTGTGCAGGGGCCTTTATAGAGGAGGGTGGCTGGTGATTGGAGCAAATTATTTTGATCTCTCTGGCGCGTGACCTGGGGGTCACGTGATATCCCACTAGCGAAGTCCTAAGGGACGTAGCTCCATGACGTAGAATTACTCATTACAAACATTGATCATATGTTAATTGCATATTATATAATGTGTAACGTAAGTGAACAGGAGCTTCGATCTCACAGTTTACAATGAATGGATTGGAACAATAGTTTTGGTAAAAGATTGAGTGGGACAAACACGTATTTCAGACTGCTCCGTTTATCAATGATTCACTAATTGATAACTAATCCATGAGTTAGCAACCCATGTGGCAGGTTTGTGAATCTTACACAGATTGAAACATGACTCAAACAGCACTCCTTTTAAACTTACAAATAGGATTAAGGTGATTTCATGATTTTAACAGTTCCACAGTTGTCCGCAAGATATATCTATTTGAAAGAATCCCCAAAAAGCAAATAAGTACGACATGTAAAATCAAAATGCTAAACGAAAACCTCCCACATCACACAAATAAATCCAGCAATAAAAATAGTACCAATTAAACTTATAATTAGCCCAAAAATAGGATAATAGAAATAGGTTACTAAATTAGCTGCAACCTCATTATAGGATAAGGTCTTATAATTACTAAACTTCAATTACAACAGCAAAGGTGCTTGTGAATATAAAAATGATACACAGTCCAAAGTCATTTGTCCTTATCGGAACTTCAAGATCTCCATTCCACAGCGAGTTATTCTTGTGACTTTCAGTCAATGCACAGTTCATCCTGGTTTTAGTCTTGCCCAGCACTGGTCTCACATATGTGCAACAACTGTGAATGTTCAAAGAAAAACACTGGACATTTGAGTTCATGAATGCAGTCTTTAGCCATGTGTCCTTTAATAAGACCAAAGAAACAGAGGCCCGTTCTACTCAGGAAGTCTGACTTTGTCTTTTGTAACTCCCTGTAAATCGAAAACTATCATTTTGGGCGTGGCCTGTCTTGCAATACAACTATGGTTTGTTAAATGCAATACACACCCACATCAACTAAGTAAACGAATACAGCAATAATAATACCAATTAAACTTATTAGACCAAAAGTTGTGGAGCAATCTTAGCAAAGAGATGAAAAAATGTAATTCCTTCTTGGTATTCAAGAAAAAACTGTCACAGTCTATCCTGGACGGATACCGAAAGACCTGACCTCACTCCACACTCCTCAGGCAGAACCCGGTCAGGCCAACAGCACCGTCTGCTCCCGCCCAGGACACGGCTCAAGAAAATGGGGGACCGGGCCTTCGAGGCCGCTGCTCCCCGTCTATGGAACGCCCTCCCGGACCACCTCAGGGCCCCACAGACTGTGGACATTTTTTTTAGTCTTTTTTTCTGATTTTAGGTGTTTGCTTTTATTTATGCTGCTGTTTGTAGCACTTTGAGATTTGATGTCAAATATAAAGTGCATTATAAATAAAATGTATGATTATTATTTTGTTGCTTTTAACTAAAAATGTTAATTTGTTGAAATATGTTATTGAAATAAATATGTAATTTGTATTGTATTATGACAATTTTAGTTTTATTTTATTTTTTACTTCTGTCCTAATACAAACTGAAACTGAAAATAAAGCTTCAGAACCAGGGAGAGCGATACCCCCTGCACTGACCGCGGCCCACCAGTAAATCAGTGTAGGAGGAGAACCATGTCTGCTGAGAGCAGCTGGAAATAGAAGCTCCAACACAGGCTAGAGGCAAGAACCACCGGCAAATCTGTGAGGAATTTCACCAAGATTCAAACAGTGAAATCATGTTTTTTTGTGTGTGCAGGAGCGCTCAAGGAGCAACTCTGAGGAAACACATCTGCAGATGAGAGCGCTCGACTGGGAAGGTTTGCAGCAGAGTGACACGGCTCCAATGAGGACCAGCGCCTCTGAGCCCAAGACCACGGTTTTGGATTGGACCAAGATGCCTTACACAGTCCAGGGGGTATCTCAGGTCTTACTCACTGTGAGGGTAGGAGCAGCGTCTGCAGTGATGTGAAGAGGAAGCAGAGTCTGGAGCTGGGAACGCCTCATCCAGCTGCAGGAGGAATGTGTGAAGAGGATGGATGTCTCCAGAGGAGCCCAGAACAAGTGACAGAGGGATGAAGAAAGCTCAACAGAAGATGGAACTGAAGAGATCACATCAAAAACCAAACAAGTCAGATTCCGTTTGAGTTGTTGGCTTTCATATTCAAATATTAGTATAGTTGTGCAAAAACACATTCATCCCATGTTTTGCCATGACCTGATATTAAGTTGTATTGTTGTATGTAAACCTTACCATGCTATGCCAAGTGGATCTATATTCTTTTCATGATGTGGACATCACAATATTAGAGGAAAGGGGGCTTTATTTCAGCTCAGAGTCAGAGTTTGTGTATCTATCTTTTTACCCTTAGAAATTATATTCTAAATTCATAGTTTGAATCTAAAAATGCTAGAGAATACATGCACATGTATAAATGTCTTTATAGTAAACTGCCAAACTTTATGACTAGCTATGATTTATTTGCAAAAACTATTATTTCAATTTAAAATGGATGTCATTCCACCAGAAATGAGTCAGACTTAGAACCTTAAAAACTCATGCACTTTCAAGTCTGCTTTATATTAAACCAGTTGAAGTCATTCTTGGCAATGGTCATTGGTGACATTTAAAATGCTATTCACAATCTTAAATCTTGAGTTTCTTTTACTTTTGAGGTAATGGGAAATCGCTATACACCATCAATAACAAATGCAATAGACATTTTTGTTTTAATACAAACAAACTCGTAATCTGGTATTCATCATTACATCGACACCCTGCAGTCATCAGAGCAGAATGGGGTTTAGACCATCTGCTGAAGGAGGCCTCCGCTAAAGTTTCACTTAATCTCTCGCCGTTTGCTGATCCCACTGCTTACACACGACAAGAACTGGGCTTTCAATCCACCGGAGAATTACCAGTTTAGGTCAAGATGAGGCGCTGCACTGCAGTCTTCAGATGTTACATCCATTATTTCAGTAACTTATCTCCAATGTTTCCAGCAGCAACACCATTTTGAGGGAAGTGGTTATTAATTAGATACTTATGTAATGTTGTTATGTTTGTAATGCCATTACAAAAGGAAGAGGCCATTATTCGTTTTGACTTCTGTTCTGTAAAGGGCTCATATGTAGAACTCATCCATGCTTTCTTCACTGTTTGTTTTTAGAAAGAGCAGTTTGGAGTTCTCAGGGCTAGTCTTGTTGGTCCCATTGGATCTGGGACTGTGTCCTGTATGCAGACACTCACTCAGCTCCTTTGCCAACACTTCCACTGCTGTGGCTCCCACCACAGCCGGCCTGGCTGAGTCCACTCCCATCAGCAGGTCTACAGAGGAAGAGCGTCTGATCGCTATGGGACCACTGTCACACAGAGGAGAGACCTGATGTCCTGTGTCCACGTTTGTCTCCTCCTCGTCCTCCTCCAGGAGCAGGTGGGACATAGAGCGTGTGAAGTGGGGTCGCAGAGGGGACTCTGTCTGATGGGACAAGGACGCCGGTGCAGGACTGCTGCGCTGGGACGAGTAACAGGAGCTCCCAGGGGGACTACTGCAGCCACTTCCTGATCCAAAACTGTCCGCTTTTCCATCACCATCTCGAGCTCTGTGTCCAGCTGCAGACCAAAGCATCAGAGTGGGACATAGTAAACAAACTGACTATGTTACTGACTCTCTGCAGCTGATGTGCAGTGAGAAACAAGTCTTCGACTCTTAGCTAGGGCCTCATGTATACATAAGAAAATCCACTTGCCTGGTCTGAGAGCGTCCCAGGAGAACCTGCTCGGAGACACACGGTTGGGCTGCAGGCCTCGAGGAGACACCGCAGAGCCGCTCAGAGGGAAAGCACAGGTCAGAGGTTGCTGAGGCTGGACCAGGGTTTTTACCTAGAGCACAGAAGGACAGGATTATGATCCACACCAAAGAGCTTTCAAGAGATTTGTGCAAACACCTAATACATTTGGTATTTCCACAGTTTTAAAGTTCTTTTAAAGGGGATTTATAAATCAAAAGAAACAAGGTATATTACAGTTATCTTACCTGAAAGAGCACTTTGTTTCCATCCAGGTCTTCGGTTTGCCAGCGTGTTGAGCTGATGGGAGTGCATGGATTAGGTAGCAGAGGAACTAACTGTCCAATTTCCTCCACATTAAATTGAAGCACAGCAGAGTTGCATGGCTCAACTCGAACGCCTGGTGACAACTGCTTTATCGCTAGCTGCAGGTTCAGCCCTGGTTCTGTCAAGTACAATTCTATTAAAATGTGCATGGTTCATAATGAACAGCTTACCAAGCCTTACCTGTGTGAAGAGTGAACCAGCAGAAGCCTGCCTTTTGTTCCTCAGCTTGTCGCTGAAGTACAGTCTCATAGAGCCTCACAGAGTCCTCATAGTTATCATATCCACTGTACAGTGTGACACGCAGGATCTCTCCTCCACAGTGCACTGGGCGCACCCCCCACACAGGCATGCCAGCACCCAGGCTGTAGAAGTCTCTACTAGGCAGCAGGTAGGGTCTGAGCGAGGGGTTGTTTGGGGAGCTGCAGGAGGTGATGTGGACCCCTCCTGTGCGACTGCCACAGCTCTCTGTGTGGTGATACTGCCATGGAGGGTGCTGCAGGAAGTCAAGGACCTTGAGGATTCGCTCTTCTCCGTAAGCTTCATGAAGGAAGAAGGTGATGGCCACGGATGGATAGCCTAAAATTACAGTGAGTTTGTAAGTCATCAGTGATCAATGGTAATGTCAATGTAATACAATAGTCCATTAATTAATAGATAACTGACCGGCCACAGGACACAGTGGAGTATAAGTTCTGTACGGAGATGCCCTCTCTGACACATGGAAGACGCAGAGGCTGGGACAGAGCCAGCGCAGCAGCTGGTCCAGGGTCTGCTGCAGGAGCAGGGAGTCTCCAGGGTTGGCCAGTAAATGCAAGTGTAACAGAAGTGTGCTCTGTATCCTCTGCTGTCTGAGCCGCCTGGTCATCGCCTTAGCTGATGAAACAACACATATTTATGACACCAATATAACCATAAAGTGCATTCAAAAGAAGACCACTCACTGGCAGATGAAGACATCCTGCTGGAGTCAGATCTAGATGAAAAAACAAGAATGATTCCACTTTGACTTAAACTGAGAGCATGAAGGCAACATCTGTCTCCATCTTGTGGTGGCGGTGATGACAACATCTCCGTCACCATGACAACACTTGTGGTCACTATGTTGTTAGCAAACAGAAGCTAAAAAAAACACTTTGAGAAATCCAATAAATAAGCAGCATATAACTATCTCACGGGTAGCACGTAATATATTGTTGTGCACCACGGACCCGTCATAAACACAAAAAGTAATTAGCTGGAGTTAGCTCAGAGCTAGCACGGACTGACCGTGGACTTACTGCGGTCTGTGCTCCGGAGTCCACATGGTCCTCCACATGGTCCTCTCTGCGTCCGGAGGTCCGGGGACACCACAGGGCACATCCCCGCACTGGACTCTCAAGGACGGGCTGTAGTTAGTGCAGAGTCCGGCCTGAAACATCCAGCTCTGCTCCCGTCAGCAGCTGACGTCATCGGCAAACCAACTTCTTTATGTTCAAGAAGTAAAGTGAAGTTTGTCCACGGACCGTGTTTGCTGCAGATCATCCCCGGGTTTGGAGCACGCAGAGGCGGCTTAAGCTGTCGATAATAACGGAGCAGATGGTCTTTGGTCTAACAAAGTGAGGACAAAGGAGGGGGTCGCACACGATGATGCTCTAAACCCCGAAACTCTGCTTTAAGAGCATTAGAGGGAGCCAGCGCACACATGCTGATCCTTCTGACCCATGATCATCCCACAGGGCTTTATGTACAAATATTTCGAAGTTTTAACGGTGGTAAAATAAATACACATTTATTCATTTTTCCTACATTTAATATGATGAAAACAAAAGCCCTGTACAATCCACTTTTGCAGTGAGTACAATAATTATTTTACATTTTATACATATTGGAACATGGCATCTAGAATCTAGATCGATCCAGTTGATCAATTTGCGTTTTCTGTAACTTGCACCGTACAGAATGTTGTATTTGGATTTAATACAGCTGAAGATGCAACAAACCCAAAAGATCAGCGAGTGACCAAATACTGCCTGAAGCCTATTGTGTAAAAGCATGTTGTGAACTTACAGCTGAACCTCTCTGAACGGGCATTAAACATGCCATTCAATATGAGATGCAGCGAATTCATACCAGATAGTAAAACATCAACCTCCAAAAGAAAAAGAAGCAACATAAATTAAGCACTCTTCCCGTCGTATGAAGTCCATAGAATGCATTTGGCCCATTGAGTAAACCAGGCCTGTACCAGTTACCATGGTGACCTCTTCATGTCCTCAAATCTCTGGCAGGGAGGTCTAGAGCCACTGCACATCCAAATGCACAGCCGTAATGGCGCCACAAAACATCCGGGACATGTTGACATAAACATTTAAAAAGTGGGGAGTCGGTTCTACTCATTTTCGTGCTCTCGGTGTAGCAGATTGCTTAATAGCGTAGCCATTCACGTATTCTTGATTCTGTTCGAACAGCATGTAGATTGGCACACATGCCACCCAATTCTCTCCAAAGGCCACAAGGAACATGATTTGTACAAAACTAGACCCCATCGCTTCTCTCACCAGAAGAATTCTAATATTGCTAGAACACTTCTTATCTTGTATGTGTTTTGTACACATTTTATGGAAGAAAAGTGAAGCTTCCCAGTGTTTCCCAGAATCATTGACGAAGTTCATTGAATGCAGTCCACAAAATGACTCAACTTTCATTACGCTACATAAGTGTACACTTTGCGGTCCTCTGGCGTTCGTGCCAAATATTCTCGCTCAATAAGTCCTTCAATGCGCTTCTTGATGACTACAGGACTGGGAAGAAACCGTGCTCTCAACTGCTGTGTAACCTGTAAAAATACACAGTGTCAAATATCTTGGAAATATTTTACATTAAATAAAGAGTTGCATTTGATCCTCTAACATGTGCATTTTTTCAACTGCAGATTAATTTTGGTACAACTTACCTCTGCTACTAGAACATTGTGCTGCATCTTCTTTCTGGACTTCATGATGCGGACTATTGCAGCTTCTATTTCATGCTTTCTGTCATCATCCACTTTTTGCCGCGTCTCCTTCCTCTCCGGGTCCGACTCTCCTTGTTTCGCCGCCACTAGGACAACAACATGAAAACACCAGAGTATGAGAGCAACAGGACTAAATCATGTCATGTTTTTACCTGTCTGGATCTTCACACGATGTAATTTGGAGGTGAACTGGTCGTTGACAGTAAATACGTGGCCATTTTCTATCTCCTTGGATTTAGGCTCCTTGGTGAGAACTCTTTGGGTTGGTTTCCCACAGGCCAAAGACTGAAGTGCTCGCACTAGCTCCCTTTCTGGGATGTCCGTCTCCTGCTGTATTTCCTACATTGGACATAAAATCGTGTTATAAACAATGAATATAAAATAATAATAATAATGAATGTATATGGTAGTGTAGATACCTCGAATGTGGACTTTTCTCTTGAATTGAACAACATAAGGATGGTCATCTGAAAGGTGGACACCTGCAGGATGTGTTTCCTCGTGTTGGAGCCGGTCACCTGAGCTCCTCCCACTACAACCTCAGAGCCGTCTTCCTAAACTCAATTAGAACGATGATGAATTAGTAAAAGCACAATCAAAATCAGATCACCAGAAAAACTTTGAAAACAGTCCCAAACCTTTTTGATTGGACCATAGAAAGTGGCGTTTAAATCTGCGGAGCCCATGTGGTGCTGCAGTGTGAGTTGTCTGCCGCTGTGCTTACCAAGATAGAACCTACAGAGATGTGGGATACACTCATGTTGGATATCTTTAAATGGATTTAAAATAAAATATTTGCGTTGAAGCACCAGCAAGACAAACCTTCGAAAAACCTCAAATGCGTGACGTGGAGAGGGCGGGATGCTGCACTTTGGTGTTGCCGATTGGGTGGGCCAATACCCAGTGGTCAGGACTCGAACGGTGAGATCCACTCCACCGAGGGACGCCTGGCATGTGCAGAACAGAAGCATATTACAACTGGGCTCCTCACCACACCACTACGGGCCCCACTATGGACCTCCCCGGGGTTTCTCATTTTTCTCCCACTGGGTTTTAGAGTTTTCCCTTGCCGATGCATCAGGGTCTGTTAGACTGTTAGTGTCTAACCAGAAGGACTGTGGTGATGATTCAGGACACTAATGTTCTAAAACATTTATGGACATTGGTCAACTCCCTATGGACCAATACATACGTGTTATATTTTTGTGTTTGAACAATTAGATTCTCTGATCTGTGATGGCTATTTCAACGCCAACAATTGTTAAGTCTTCTGAGATAACTGTTGTTGTCATTTAGGGCTGTACAGGAATAAATTGAATTGAATAAAAAGTACTAAATGACTGATATCTCAGCCTGTGTGGCAGATACAAACCTCATTCATAAAGAATTTGAGAGCTGACATCTGCGGCTTTCAATAGGAATGCAAGTATTATTATAAACCTTCAGTAGAATAAAAACATTAAATACAATCTCACCATTATTTTTGTTGTTTTATTATATTTCCCAATGTGGATCAACACATATTTCTCAATACAATAACTTAACAAGAGTTTGGCAATAAAGTGGCACTAACTGGAGAAATAAATCTAATATCCACTCAAGTCAAATCATAAATTAGAGCTCTTAAAGTATCCAAAAGAAAAAAAAAAGATGGCTTGTTGTGGTTTGTTCTGTTTGATTTGTTCACAAACAACATGTGTTGTTAATGCAAGGGAAAATGTAGGTACCCTAGCTTTAATTTAGTGATTTTTATTTGCTCTTTGGGGGAAGACACGGGGAGACACTTGCAACCTGCTGGGGGATAGTCCTGTCCGCACATCTATGGGCGCTGTTGTCAAAGCAACGCACAGGAACTGCTGTCATTACAAAGCGGCCGCAGCTGCCACGGGTCAGAATGCTGCAGGAGGATGTGGAATCTTGTTCGAGTTTGTACAGCAAACAACAGCAAGTGCCCGCGGCCACACATTTCACAGAAATCATTTTCAGTGAGAAATAGTCAGAATTCCACGTTACGCGGAAAATTCTCATCCCTGGTATATCCGGATGCATTTCATTGGTCAGAGGAATTGACAAAAAAAATAAAAGTGATAAATAGACGTGCCCGCTTTCCAGCACTCACAGGCTCTAGAAGTAAAAATGCAGGAATGAGTTACCAGCCTGAATGGGTAAACGAGGATCTCACTCACAGGCATACACTAATGATAATGATGTCATAATCAGAAAAGTCAACATGGGCGTTTCGGAGCGAGCTGGAGACTTACCCCTGTGGTCTGTAGGTGTTGTCTGAACTCGTCCATAGTGGTGTTGGAGATGCTCATGTCCCGGAACATGCCCTCCAGCTTTGAGGTAAACTGACAGCCACACTCAGTCTGTTGGGGACACCAGTACAGTGACCATCCAGTCAAGGCCAACTTTGTGGATCAGCAAGTTTCTTACCTTGAGCTTTGAGATCATGTTTTTTTCAGAGTCGTCAGACACACTCTTGTTTGTGAGTAGTCTGCGGGCGAGGTGCTGTTTGTAATATCTTTCAAACACATCCTTCTCCTGCATGAAGCGGAACAACACCATGGCTTTGTCCAGAATGGACTCCACCTCCTGCTCGGTGAGCTGCCCAGCAGAAAACACACAAGTGAATTATGAATCATCACAAGAGAAGATTTAAATCAGTTTAAACCTACCCCTTTGACACCTTTCTTCAGTTTATCATCAATAAAAAGTGAAAGATATTCAGGAGAACGAGAGTTGAGGTTCAGGAAATACTCAAAGTCTCCAGCTATGGTTTGTTTGAAAAGTCTGTCATTGTTAAATGATTCTTGAAGGAAGCGATCGAATCGTAACTTGAGGTCCAGTAAACCCTTTAATGAACACAGAATTACATTATACATAAAACAGGATAAACAAAATTCCATTTCTTTTAAATTCATTCAATAATCACACCTAGTTCAGACTTAATGTCCTTGTTCAAAGGGCATCTTACCTGAATGTAGTCTACAGGGTTCTTCCCCTCTCCCTCCTCTGACACCAAAGCCTTGCCCTGCTCCCTCAGGTAGGAGCTCATGCACTCACACATGGTCTTCAGCCCGTTGGGGACTCGACTGAACAGCTTGTACATACATGCCAAGTCTACCAAGAGCACAGACAAACACAGAAAGTTAGTCTCTGCTTGTAAATAGTGTCTTTAGCCTCAGAGCTGCCTCATACCATCGGTCTTGCCGTTCTTGAGCATATGGACAAGGCCAGAGTTCTCCATCTCCACAATAGTCTTCATGTGTTTGGAGATGAGTTCTCGCTCCACCACTTTAACGATTGGCTCCTCTGTGGATTTATCCAGACAATGCATCACTCGCTCGATCTCCTCATTGATCCTGGCCTCCACCTTCTTGATGTAGACACTCGCACTGTTTTCAGCAAGGAACTTTTGACTTTCCATCTGTAATACGAATGCACAATTAGATTTAAAGTTAAAAAAAACCTGCACTGTGTGGAGTACAGATAACGGTGCAAACCTGAAAGAATTCTGCAGACATTTCAAGAAATGGAGCTTCAAAGTCTTCTTCATAAACAGACCTCCCCTCAAGGCCGAGGATCATCAGCATTTGGCATGCGTTCCTTATAGCGCCCCTGGTGTGAAGAACAGATAAAAGCATTATGTACAAGCTGCTAAATATTGACATTGAAATGATTTATACTTGTTATTAGGGCTGGCAAAAAGCACCTTAATCCATCATGTTAACACATTTGAGTATGTAAATGTGTTCAAATAGATGTGCGCATTGATTATATTTCACTGGAGAGGATCTGCACAGAGTCCTGGGTGAGTGCAGGTTGTGCCCCTGCTGTGTTCTTAAAGCTGCACTAACTGACTTTATTTTCGTCCAAGTAGTGCATTGAGATATACGTCCTTTGGAAGAAAAAGAAGCGCAGATTTGTGCTGCCGTGACATTATATTTTAGATCGAGTTTTGATGAAACAAGGAAGAGAATGTGTTCCGGGTCGCAGATTGTGACCAATCACAGCGGACCACTAGCCCCCACTTTCGTGAGAAATCTACAGGTCCGTTAGCATAGACGGCTGAGTTAGCACAACAAGCGGCGGAGCTAACCTGAAACTTTCTCCTCTTCGTCACCGGTTACTGCTTACACAGCGAAACAGCCAAAAGAAAGTCCGGTTCCTCCGCACTTCCCGGTTCTATCGTTCTACGGTCACGCCATCCACGTGCAAATCCATATCCATGTATTATCCATATTGGGAGACACTAGCTCCGTCAACAACAGTGGGTGTGTGTGGGGGGAGATAGCTTCGTGGGTGCGGGGAGGTGGAGCAGAAAGAGCGAGGCCAGCGAGTCCATGGCTTCAAAATCCCAAAGTTAGTTAGTGCAGCTTTAAGGACCGCTGTCTTCCTTCCACTGTGTGTGTCTGTGTGCGTTTGTGTGTGACCTCCACGATCGCTACAAGTGCCCCACCCAGAGATGTGTGCGGCAATCCCATGTGCTGAAGGTTAACTGCTGAGGACGAGGCTCTGTGCGTCACATTCAGACGAGCGCAAAAGCCTTTGTTATGCCATTTGTCTGTGACCGATGCAGCTCATAGGACTCTATGAGGACTGTACTATAACAGGCCTTTTTCTCAGGTCCATGAGCCTACTTATTATTATTATTATTATTTTTATTATTTTTATTCATGCATTACGTTTAGTTGAACGTTTACTTCTCAATGCGCTGGAAAACGGCTGCTAGCCCTGAAACAGTTGTGGGTTTGTGCTTCTAAATTTTCCATCCATCCATTTTCTTCCGCTTTATCCGTTGCCGGGTCGCGGGGGCAGCAGTCTAAGCAGAGACGCCCAGACTTCCCTATCCACACACACCTCCTCCAGCTCGTCCGGGGGGACCCCAAGGCGTTCCCAGGCCAGCTGAGAGACATAGTCCCTCCAGCGTGTCCTGGGTCTTCCCCGGGGCCTCCTCCCGGTGAGACATGCCCGGAACACCTCCCCAGGGAGGCGTCCAGGAGGCATCCGGAACAGATGCCCGAGCAACCTCAACTGGTTCCTCTCAACGTGGAGAAGCAGCGGCTCTACTCCGAGCTCCTCCCGTGTGACCGAGCTCCTCACCCCATCTCTAAGGGAGCGCCCAGCCACTCTGCGGAGGAAACTCATTTCGACCGCTTGTATCCGCGATCTCGTTCTTTCGGTCATTACCCACAGCTCATGACCATAGGTGAGGGAGGGAACGAAGATTGACCGGTAAATCGAGAGCTTCGCCTTTCGGCTCAGCTCCCTCTTTACCACAACGGTCCGATACAGCGACCGCATCACTGCGCACGCTGCACCGATCCGCCTGTCAATCTCACGCTCCATTCTTCCCTCACTCGTGAACAAGACCCCGAGATACTTGAACTCCTCCACTTGAGGAAGGACCTCTCCACCCACCTGAAGAGGGCAAGGCACCTTTTTCCGGTCGAGCACCATGGCCTCGGATTTGGAGGTGCTGATTCTCATCCCAGCCGCTTCGCACTCGGCTGCAAACCGTCCCAGTGCATGCTGCAGGTCCTGGTTCGTTGGAGCCAGCAGGACGACATCATCCGCAAAAAGTAGAGATGAAATCCTGTGGTTCCCGAACCGGACCCCCTCCAGCCCCTGGCTGCGCCTAGAAATTCTGTCCATAAATACAGTGAACAGAACCGGTGACAAAGGGCAGCCTTGGCGGAGGCCAACATGCACCGGGAACAGGTCTGACTTACTGCCGGCAATGCGAACACAGCTCTGACTCCGGTCATACAGGGATCGGATGGCCCTCAGCAGAGGACCTCCGACCCCGTACTCCCGGAGGACCCCCCAAAGGACACCCCGGGGAACACGGTCGAACGCCTTCTCCAAATCCACAAAGCACATGTGGACAGGTTGGGCGAACTCCCATGAACCCTCGAGTATCCGATGGAGAGTATAGAGCTGGTCCAGTGTTCCGCGACCGGGACGAAAACCACACTGCTCCTCCTGAATCCGAGATTCGACCATCGGACGTAGCCTCCTCTCCAGTACCTTGGAGTAGACCTTACCGGGGAGGCTGAGGAGTGTGATCCCACGATAATTGGAACACACCCTCCGGTCCCCCTTCTTGTAGAGAGGGACCACCACCCCGGTCTGCCACTCCATTGGTACCGCCCCCGATCGCCACGCGATGCTGCAGAGACGTGTCAGCCAAGACAGTCCTACAACATCCAGAGACTTTAGATAGTCAGGACGGATCTCATCCACTCCCGGCGCCTTGCCACCATGGAGGCTGCCAACCACCTTGGTGACTTCGGCCAGGGAGATGTAAGTATCCGCCCCAACATCCTCAGCCTCTGCCTCCTGGACGGAGGACGTGACGGGGGGATTGAGGAGAACCTCGAAGTATTCCTTCCACCGCCCGACAATATCGCCAGTCGAGGTCAGCAGCCCTCCACCCGCACCGTACACAGTGTTGGCAAAGAACTGCTTCCCCCTCCTGAGGCGCCGGACGGTTTGCCAGAACCTCTTCGAGGCCGACCGATAGTCATGCTCCATGGACTCTCCGAACTCCTCCCAGTCCCGGGTTTTTGCCTCTGCAACAGCCCGGGCCGCGGCACGTTTGGCCTGCCGATACTGGACAGCTGCCTCAGGAGTCCCCCGAACCATCATGGCTCGATAGGACTCCTCCTTCAGCCTGACGGCATTCCTTACTGCCGGTGCCCACCACCGGGTTCGGGGATTGCCGCCGGGACCAGCACCAGAGACCTTGCGACCACAGCTACAAGCCGCCGCATTGGCGATAGAGGAAGAGAACATGGTCCACTCGGACTCGATGTCCCCCTCCTCTGCCGGGACCTGGGAGAAGCTCTCCCGGAGGTGTGAGTTGAAAGTCCGTCTGACAGGGGGCTCAGCGAGACGTTCCCAGCAAACCCTCACTATACGCTTGGGTCTGCCAGGTCTGACCGGCTTCTTCTCCTGCCAGCGGATCCAACTCACGACCAGGTGATGATCGGTTGACAGCTCCGCCCCTCTCTTCACCCGAGTGTCCGAGACACGCGGTCGAAGGTCAGATGATACGACAACAAAGTCGATCATCGACCTCCGGCCTAGGGTGTCCTGGTGCCACGTGCACTGATGGACACCCTTGTGCTCGAACATGGTGTTCGTGATGGACAGGCCGTGACTGGCACAGAAGTCCAACAACTGAACACAGCTCGGGTTCAGATCAGGGAGGCCGTTCTTCCCGATCACCCCTCTCCAAGTGTCACTGGCGTTTCCCACATGGGCGTTGAAGTCCCTCAGGAGAATAACGGAGTCCCCGGCGGTGCATCGTCCAGTACTGCTAATGAAGCATTTAGCATTTTACTTTGGACTAGATCAGAGACAATGGTCCGAACCAAGCAGCTCCTCCACCTCTGCTGCTGTGACCTGTCCTGCTCCACCCAGAGACTACTCCACCTCTGGTGCTGTGACCTGTCCTGCTCCACCCAGAGGCTACTCCACCTCTGCTGGTGTGACCCGTCCTGCTCCACCCAGAGGCTACTCCACCTCTGCTGCTGTGACCTGTCCTGCTCCACCCAGAGACAACTCCACCTCTGCTGGTGTGACCCGTCCTGCTCCACCCAGAGGCTACTCCACCTCTGCTGCTGTGACCTGTCCTGCTCCACCCAGAGGCTACTCCACCTCTGCTGCTGTGACCTGTCCTGCTCCACCCAGAGACTACTCCACCTCTGCTGCTGTGACCTGTCCTGCTCCACCCAGAGGCTACTCCACCTCTGCTGCTGTGACCTGTCCTGCTCCACCCAGAGGCTACTCCACCTCTGCTGCTGTGACCTGTCCTGCTCCACCCAGAGACTACTCCACCTCTGCTGCTGTGACCTAAAGGGCTGTTGCTGATTATCACTATTTTTAACTTTAGAATGATCAATTTTATTTTTCATTTTTGCTGCTACTGGACACCTGAATTTCTCATACGGGGATTAATAAAGTAATTATATACAGTGGGGCAAAAAAGTAGTCAGCCACCGATTGTGGAAGTTCTCCCACTTAAAATAAAGACAGGTCTGTAATTTTCATCCTAGGTTCACTTCCACTGTGAGAGACAATGTGAGAAAAAAAATCCAGGAATTCACATTGAAGGATTTTTTAAGAATTTATTTGTAAATTATGGTGGACAATAAGTATTTGGTCACTTCAAACACGGAAGATCTCTGGCTCTGGAATTGTAGACCTGTACCAGACTAGGAAGAGTGAATCTACAATAGGCAAGCAGCTTGGTGTGAACAAATCAGCCGTGGGAGAAATTATCAGAAAATGGAAGACATATAAGACCACTGATAATCTCCCTCGATCACAAGATCTCATCCCGTGGGGTCAAAATGATCATGAGAACGGTGATCAAAAATCCCAGAACCACACGGGGGGGACCTGGTGAATGACCTGCAGAGAGCTGGGACCAAAGTAACAAAGGTTACCATCAGTAACACACTACGACGACAGGGAATCAAATCCTGCAGTGCCAGACGTGTGCCCCTGCTGAAGCCAGTGCATGTCCAGGCCCGTCTGAAGTTTACCAGAGAGCACATGGATGATACAGCAGAGGATTGGGAGAATGTCATGTGGTCAGATGAAACCAAAGTACAACTGTTTGGTATAAACTCAACTCGTCGTGTTTGGAGGAAGAAGAAGACTGAGTTGCATCCCAAGAACACCATACCTACTGTGAAGCATGGGGGTGGAAACGTCATGCTTTGGGGCTGTTTTTCTGCTAAGGGGACAGGACGACTGATCCGTGTTAAGGAAAGAATGATTGGGGCCATGTCTCGTGAGATTCTGAGCCAAAACCTCCTTCCATCAGTGAGAGCTTTGAAGATGAAACGTGGCTGGGTCTTCCAGCATGACAATGATCCCAAACACACCGCCCGGGCAACAAAGCATTGGAGAGTCCTGGAGTGGCCTAGCCAGTCTCCAGACCTCAACCCCATAGAAAATCTGTGGAGGGAGTTGAAAGTCCGTGTTCACTGCTTTCGAGAAGATCTGCATGGAGGAATGGACCAAAATACCAGCTACTGTGTGTTCAAACTTGGTGAAGACCTATAGTAATTGTTTGACCGCTGTTATTGCCTACAAAGGTTATATTACCAAGTATTGAGTTGAATTTTTGTTATTGACCAAATACTTATTTTCCACCATAATTTACAAATACATTCTTTAAAAATCCTACAATGTGAATTCCTGGATTTTTTTTTCACATTCTGTCTCTCACAGTTGAAGTGAACCTATGATGAACATTACAGACCTCTCATTATTTTAAGTGGGAGAACTTGCACAATCGGTGGCTGACTAAATACTTTTTTGCCCCACTGTATCTATCTATTACTCATTATAGGCTTATCAATGCTTAAGATAAGATAGACTTTATTGATCTCTCACAGGAGAAATTTAACTACAGATTTCCTGAAGGGTCTCCGTGATGTGCTGTTGATACGCTATAGAAATCTGAAATATTCTACAATCCTATATATCCATCCATCCATCCATTTTCTTCCGCTTTATCCGTTGCCGGGTCGCGGGGGCAGCAGTCTAAGCAGAGACGCCCAGACTTCCCTATCCACACACACCTCCTCAAGCTCGTCCGGGGGGACCCCTAGGCGTTCCCAGGCCAGCTGAGAGACATAGTCTCTCCAGCGTGTCCTGGGTCTTCCCCGGGGCCTCCTCCCGGTGGGACGTGCCCGGAACACCTCCCCAGGAAGGCGTCCAGGAGGCATCCTGAACAGATGCCCGAGCCACCTCAACTGGTTCCTCTCGACGTGGAGAAGCAGCGGCTCTACTCCGAGCTCCTCCCGTGTGACCGAGCTCCTCACCCTATCTCTAAGGGAGCGCCCAGCCACTCTGCGGAGGAAGCTCATTTCGACCGCTTGTATCCGCGATCTCGTTCTTTCGGTCATTACCCACAGCTCATGACCATAGGTGAGGGAGGGAACGAAGATTGACCGGTAAATTGAGAGCTTTGCCTTTCGGCTCAGCTCCCTCTTTACCACAACGGTCCGATACAGAGACCGCATCACTGCGCACGCTGCACCGATCCGCCTGTCAATCTCACGCTCCATCCTCCCCTCACTCGTGAACAAGACCCCGAGATACTTGAACTCCTCCACTTGAGGAAGGACCTCTCCACCCACCTGGAGAGGGCAAGGCACCTTTTTCCGGTCAAGCACCATGGCCTCGGATTTGGAGGTGCTGATTCTCATCCCAGCCGCTTCACACTCGGCTGCAAACCGTCCCAGTGCATGTTGCAGGTCCTGGTTCGTTGGAGCCAGCAGGACGACATCATCCGCAAAAAGTAGAGATGAAATCCTGTGGTTCCCGAACCGGACCCCCTCCGGCCCCTGGCTGCGCCTAGAGATTCTGTCCATAAATACAGTGAACAGAACCGGTGACAAAGGGCAGCCTTGGCGGAGGCCAACATGCACCGGGAACAGGTCTGACTTACTGCCAGCAATGCGAACACAGCTCTGGCTCCGGTCATACAGGGACCGAACAGCCCTCAGCAGAGGACCCCGGACCCCGTACTCCCGGAGGACCCCCCAAAGGACACCCCGGGGAACGCGGTCGAACGCCTTCTCCAAATCCACAAAGCACATGTGGACAGGTTGGGCGAACTCCCATGAACCCTCGAGTATCCGATGGAGAGTATAGAGCTGGTCCAGTGTTCCGCGACCGGGACGAAAACCACACTGCTCCTCCTGAATCCGAGATTCGACCATCGGACGAAGCCTCCTCTCCAGTACCTTGGAGTAGACCTTACCGGGGAGGCTGAGGAGTGTGATCCCACGATAATTGGAACACACCCTCCGGTCCCCCTTCTTGTAGAGAGGGACCACCACCCCGGTCTGCCACTCCATTGGCACCGCCCCCGATCGCCACGCGATGTTGCAGAGACGTGTCAGCCAAGACAGTCCTACAACATCCAGAGACTTTAGATAGTCAGGACGGATCTCATCCACTCCCGGCGCCTTGCCACCATGGAGGCTGCCAACCACCTTGGTGACCTCGGCCAGGGAGATGGAAGTATCCGCCCCAACATCCTCAGCCTCTGCCTCCTGGACGGGGGACGTGACGGGGGGATTGAGGAGAACCTCGAAGTATTCCTTCCACCGCCCGACAATATCCCCAGTCGAGGTCAGCAGCCCTCCACCCGCACCATACACGGTGTTGGCAAAGAACTGCTTCCCCCTCCTGAGGCGCCGGACGGTTTGCCAGAACCTCTTCGAGGCCGACCGATAGTCATGCTCCATGGACTCTCCGAACTCCTCCCAGTCCCGGGTTTTTGCCTCTGCAACAGCCCGGGCCGCGGCACGTTTGGCCTGCCGGTACTGGACAGCTGCCTCAGGAGTCCCACGAACCATCATTGCTCGATAGGACTCCTTCTTCAGCCTGACGGCATCCCTTACTGCCGGTGTCCACCACCGGGTTCGGGGATTGCCGCCGGGACCAGCACCAGAGACCTTGCGACCACAGCTACGAGCCGCCGCATTGGCGATAGAGGAAGAGAACATGGTCCACTCGGACTCGATGTCCCCCTCCTCTGCCGGGACCTGGGAGAAGCTCTCCCGGAGGTGTGAGTTGAAAGTCCGTCTGACAGGGGGCTCAGCGAGACGTTCCCAGCAAACCCTCACTACACGCTTGGGCCTGCCAGGTCTGACCGGCCTCCTGCCCTGCCAGCGGATCCAACTCACGACCAGGTGATGATCGGTTGACAGCTCCGCCCCTCTCTTCACCCGAGTGTCCGAGACACGCGGTCGAAGGTCAGATGATACGACTACAAAGTCGATCATCGACCTCCGGCCTAGGGTGTCCTGGTGCCACGTGCACTGATGGACACCCTTGTGCTCGAACATGGTGTTCGTGATGGACAGGCCGTGACTGGCACAGAAGTCCAACAACTGAACACCGCTCGGGTTCAGATCAGGGGGGCCGCTCTTCCCGATCACCCCTCTCCAAGTGTCACTGGCATTTCCCACATGGGCGTTGAAGTCCCCCAGGAGAATAACGGAGTCCCCGGGCGGTGCACTGTCCAGTACCCCTCCCAAGGACTCCAAGAAGGCCGGGTACTCTGCACTACCGTTAGGCCCGTAGGCCGTCACAACAGTGAGAGACTTGTCCCCCACCCGGAGGCGGAGGGACGCGACCCTCTCATTCACCGGGGAGAACTCCAACACGTGGCGGCTGAGATGGGGGGCAATGAGTATGGCCACCCCAGCTCGCCGCCCTCCCCGCGGGAAACACCAGAAAAGTGGAGCGTCCAACCCCTCTCAAGGAGTTGGGTTCCAGAGCCCAAGCTGTGTGTGGAGGTGAGGCCGACTATCTCTAGTCGGTATCGCTCAACCTCCCCCACAAGCTCGGGCTCCTTCCCCCCCAGTGAGGTGACGTTCCACGTCCCAAGAGCCAGATGTTGGGTGTGTGGACTGGGTCGTCGAGGTCTCCGCCTTCGACTGCTGCCCAGTCCTCTCTGCACCTCGCCACCCACGGACCCCTCTGCAGGTGGTGAGCCCACAGGAGGGACTGCCCACGTCATCCCTTCGGGCTGAGCCCGGCCGGGCCCCGTGGGCTAAGGCCCGGCCACCAGGCGCTCGCTTGCGAGCCCCGACCCCAGGCCTGGCTCCAGGGTGGGGCCCCGGCTGCGCCATGCCGGGCGACGTCACGGTTTTTGTTGTCGTGCTGTCCATGGTTGGCTTCGGACTGCGCTTCGTCTGACTCGTCACTTGAGACCTGTCTGCCATGGGAGACCCTACCAGGGGCATGAAGCCCCAGACAGCATAGCTCCCAGGATCATCCGAGTGCTCAAACTCCCCCACCACGTTAAGGTGGCAGTCCAAGGGGGTTATATATATATCCTATATAATGTCCCTTAAATTCAATAACAGGATGTAGTAGTTCATTGCGGGCTCGAGACGCATGTACCTGTCCACCACCTCTCCTTTCCTCTCCCGGGCGATCATATCCAGCAGTGTCTGTCGGAGGTGGTCTCTGATGCAGCCGTAGCGGACCACCTGATCCCTGAAGATGATGAGGCCAAGGTTGTACACATTCTCCACGTTGTTTTGTTGCACATACACACGGTCCTAAAACACAACACATCAGATCGTTATTAATCGTAATGATTGCAACGGCCACAATAGTATCACGTTTATCTGGATGGCTTGAAGTGCGTTTGACACGTTAGGATGGTCTGATTCATATTTTTACAAGCACAGGGTACAATAAACATCAGCCAAACAGATAGATGCATTTCACCAGCGAATAGCAGCAGTGCTAACTTACACATGTAGTCTTTAAGCCAGTTGTTGTCACAGTAACAACAACAAAAATGTGCAACATGCAATATTCAAAAGCTTTGGTGTCCATTACAGACGGGCTGTTTAGGTAAAGGTGTAACGTCCCAAACTAGATTTTATGAAGAATGCTTGAGCAAGAGTCTGAAAAGCCCTGTGAGAATGCATGACTCACACTAACATGGACTCCTGTTAGTGCCCAGAGTCAGAACTAAACATGGGGAGGCTGCTTTTCAGATTCATGCTGCTAAAATCTGGAACAGTCTTCCTGGAGATGTGAGACGGGCCTCCTCTCTGACAATGTTTAAAACCAGGTTAAAGACGGTTCTGTTTAGCTGCGCATACAACTGAGGAATTTTATACTTTTATCTTTTTGTTTTTTATTTTGTTTTAATGTACTGTGATTATTTATGATTTTAATGCTTTCTTGTTTTGTTCAGCACTTTGAGTTGCCTTGTGTATGAATTGTGCTATACAAATAAACTTGCCTTGCCATTAGGGCTGCGTATGCTTCAGCCGATCACCATGACACAGCACGATACGTAAACTGATTTGTTTGCGCGCCACTACTCACCATATACATGAGGATGTCTCTAATCATCACCATTGCCGTTTGGTGATCATTCCAGGCTTGGTTCAACGTTTGAAGAAAGTTATTGTTGAGGGAATTGAGCACGTCTTCTCGAACCTTTGGAGGGAGAGTGAACACGACATTAAAGTGGTGATATTTCCATCCAAAAGTTGTTACATTAAATCCACACCCGCACTACACCGCTCATACAAAACCTTCAAGGCCTGACACTAGTCTCACTGCAGCATGACTCATCCGAGCAGACAGCTAATATTCTCCAAGACTCTCTGATCTGACCATGGATCATAAAATGTAGATAGATGGACAATGCTAAGCCCCGCGCTCAATGAAGCCCAATAGGGAAGTGCTCAAGGATGAAGTTTTGCCCCATCTAACTCTGGCTCCTACAGTAAACTCCTATAGCTCAGTAACCGCTTGTGTTACCCGCTCTCTCTGATTCTAGTGTTCATAATTTAATATTGTCTTTGTAAATCCAGATACGAGCCAGAAAACTGACAAGACTCCTTCATTCGCGGAAGAAACTCCAGCTGGCCATAGCAACAGTCTTCACCACATGTCTGCCCGTTATGGCACGAAGCTGACGCAGCGGAGGAGATGACCATATACAGAAAATTGACTCCAACCAATTTATGTTCAAATCATCTTCTTGGCTAACGCTATGGTGACGTCAGCTCTCGGTCAGTCCACTCCTGACATACGGTCTGTGCCATGGATCCAGACCCAGGAGGAGTATGCACGTTTACTGAAGGGGCATATGATCACACCTCACTTTAGACAAATCTCAAAGCGCGGAGATATTCACGCAGATTGTCCAAAGGAGGAATTTAGATCAAAACACCAAACTATTTTATAGCCTGTTACGTATATGTGGGTCAGGTGAAGAGGGTTATAAGCTACACACAAGTCACATGAGGCACAATACTTTGAATAATGACAACGTAACAAGCCGTGTAACAAGAGTGAAGCTCTTTCCATCAAAGTGTTGGCTTTTGCACACACTACCCGTCATTTAGTTTTCCTTGAAAACAAATCGGTTGGAATGTGTCGATACAGCTTTACATGGACAAGCTTGTCATGAGATTCCCTCCGATTTTTGCTCCTCGTGCTGTGACCTTAGAAGCCTAATTTGTGAAAGTTGGAAAAGTTTACTTCCACTCTATATTTTGACATGTTGCCATTATCCCTGTGGTGAAAAGCCAACATGGGTCACAACAACTCGCCAAGCTTTCCCAATGAAAGTCACATAACGACACAACTTTTGAGACCGAGCTTTAACGCTGGGTCTGTCGTATGAAAACAACTCCTGACACAACTTTTGAGACCGAGCTTTAACGCTGGGTCTGTCGTATGAAAACAACTCCTGACACAACTTTTGTCATTCAAGACTAGGGGTGGGCGATATGGCCTAAAATTCATATCGCGGTATAATTTGGGTCATAGACGGTAGACGGTATATATCGCGGTATAATTTGGTGTGTGAATTTCAATATAGGTCTAGCAGGTTCTTGCATAAAATAGTCAAGATTGTTAATTATTTATATATTAGAATCTAATATATATATTTTTTGAGTTAGAAAATCAGTTGTGAGACGAATAAAGAGACAAATATCATACATTATTTATGTATGTTACAGTAAATACCATTCACTGTAAAAGCAATTTTTAAAAAGAAAAACATATGCATTCATTTAAAATATAAAAAACTCACAAATGTTGAAATCAATGTCTGTAGGAGTTAGACATGGTCATTATTTATAGTGTCTGAGAGTTTTGTGCAGGTGCATGACTTCAGTAAAAGCTGTTTGTTTACAAAGCTGGTCTTGCCATTTGTTGACGCTCCCTAAGCGCTTTTCTCTGCGCTGGATGATTCAATGGATTTTATGTTCATTAAAACAGCGCATTGGATTTGAACAATTGATGTAAATGATCATTTTGGCACAAATAATTTTGTTTAACAAAGTAGCTTTCGTGAGATATTGACTGCGGAGGTCCGAATCTGACGCTAACTTTCCCAAACTTCTGCTGTGATGCTGCGGACACGGCACACGCATGGATCTATTTTGGCTCACACTGGCGCTTCGAGCTTACGCCCCTTTGACACCGATTGGCCAAAAGGTAGACGCTTAAACTGTGATTACTGGGTGTGTATTTACCTCTGCTGGGGCCGCTGTGACAACAATACAGAGACAGAAACACTGTTAATGCCGTGCTGTTGTTCGTTGTTTCCAGTGGTGTCTGCTAGGCTAATAGTGCTAGGCTAATGCTAGGCTAATGCTAGGCTAATGCTGCTGAATGCCGGTTTGTTTTGGTCCTTTCTGCTGGCGTCAGAGCCTGCGCAATTTAATGACATAATGACCTATCGCAATATGCCGGTATAACAAAAATCTCTACCGTGGGCCAAATTTATACCGTCTACCGCTTATACCGTTTATACCGCCCAGCCCTATTCAAGACTCAGAAATGTTACAGTGCCCTCTATAGTCTCTCCAATGTGCACTTATAATTCTACTCCTTTTTCAAGCAGCCAACTCTGCCTATTTGGACAAACACAGGTTATGTGATCTCAACACTTTGTTGATCCAATTCCAAGAAATCGTACTTTCTTTATGGACTGCAGTGAAATTAGATCAGCCATTCTACACCACACTGGCCCTGGTGGAGAATGCGGCAGGAGATGTTCCGACACTGACTGTTTAATCACATTAGAATGTGATTGTTGCGTGTACAGTAGTACCCGTGCATGGCTCTCAGAACTCTTTGTCTGCGTCAAACATGACTTAAGGCAGAGTGAAATGAAGGAATCACCAGCACACACCTGACAGCACCACTTAAAAATGAAAACAGGTTGGTGCTTTCCCATCTGCGCTGTATCACATTTGTCCTTGAAAGCCTTTTTTGTCCATTATAGAATAACAGGGTTAGAGCAGAATTGTGATTTTACAGCAATTCAATCCACTTAGAATGTTTCATAAACAAAGTGCTGCACATAGATAAAGTAACAATAGCATCCTTGCACACTTCTACCAAATGAAATAAACGATGTGCGTCATATTTACTGGTTTACTTTGAATGCACTGGAAACAACAGCAAGTCCTAAGCAGCTCTGAAACAGTTGTTGTTTTGTGATTTTAAAATGGTTATTTTTCTCGCTTTCTTCTACCTGAGATGTTGCTGCAGTACAGCGTTCATAGATTAACACTGATCCAGAGCAGAGGATTCATGGTCCGAAACAAGCGGATCAGGCAAAAATCCACTGGAGTAATGCTAACTTTTTGAAAAATGCTAACAAAGCTACACCACCTCTGCTGCTGTGACCTGTGGCTCCACCCAGCGGCTACTCCATCGCTGCTGCTGTTGCATTTTATTACTACTGTTAGCTATTTTTATAATGATCTATTTATTTGTTTTGTTTTTATGAATGCAGGGGTTTCTGCTCCTCCTGGAAAACTGAATTTCTCCTATGGGGATCAATAAATATTATAAAAAGGGACCTTTCAGAGACTCTGCTTTTATGGTATGTGTTCACAAATTCTCACAGGCCTGTGGTTCACATCTGTATTCTATAGGCCAGTGTCTCCCAAAGTGGGGTCCGCGGCCCCCTGGTGGGCCGCGAGGGTACTGCAGGGGGGCCGCGGGAGGTCATAAAAAAAATAAAAAATAAATATAATTATTTAATATTAAATTTATAATGTTTTGTTTGTAATATTAAAATATTTGTGTTCATTATTTGACTTGAATAATCCACTGTAATCATTTTTGTATTACAATGTTTGTAGCAGAGGCTATTTCCCCAAAATAAAATAACCAGAAGAGCCTATTCTTAATGTTGTCTTCTTGGTTATTATTTTGGGGGGCCACGCAGACCCGTCAGATTTTTAAGGGGGCCTCGGTGTTACTGAGTTTGGGAATGGCTGATATAGGCAAATGAATGGAAAGACAACCTGAATATCAGCTGAACTGATGTCACCAAACCGAAACAGAAACATTCCATATCGACAGATATCCGATACCAGTATGCACGCCTGAAATGTACTGCTAAAAACAGACTTCAATTCTGAATCAATGGCAGAACACTTGAGACTTACTTTATTGATCAGATGCTCTGTGACCACCTCACGCAGGCCGGTGTACAACTTCTCTCCATGTTTGTGGAGCACCATGGTGTATGCATTTCGGTACAGCTCCTCAAAGCTCAGGCCACTGTTGTTCTTCCTCTGAATTTCCTGGATGGCATTTTTCAGAAGGTCCCAGATGTTGTTTACATACTTCTCATCCATCGTCATCTGAAAAAGAAAGCGGAACATCTGAGAACTTATGTTTCCATTTACTTTTTTTAATGAGTATAGTCTCAGCTGAATATTTTTTTCAGGGGATGATCCTATTGTACATGCTTATAGTGGTAGGGGAAACCAGAGCACTTGGAGGAAACCAATGCAGACACAGAGAGAACATGCAAACTCAAACCAAGGACATTCTTGCTGAGAGGCGAGAACTCCATCCCACTGATCTAACTACTATTTGTCAGGTAGAGAGAAACAAATAAATGGTTAAATTACACACTCCATATGACCAGTAGTCGGAGTAAGATTCTGGTGCCACCAGTGAGCAGCTGCTTCTGTTAGTCTCTATGTCTGTGAAGAAGACATTATGAAAAATCTATTCAACTAAAAAATAGCAAGTTACTTACAGTAAAGTTATTCATACATTTCAATAGCGAGTAATGCGACTATGGTTTGTGTGCTGCTTTTCCCACTAACTGTGTGTTAAAAATGACAGAGTCACATCCTGAAAGAGAGGCCTCTTAAATGCTACGGTATGGCTATATAGGAGTGAATCGTTGTCTCATCTGAGATGAATACCATTTCTGCAGCCAGTCTCTGACAGTGCAGTTTGTCCAAACTAAATTAACATATTGACAGTGCATTGAGAAATTCTTATTAGCTCCCATTTTGTGGCGGATTCATCATTCAATTTCAAACTGTTAACTGTCACTTCAGGGAGGCCCTTGTACAGCTTGTGCTGCTGAGCGGACAAGCCCGAACACATGCACAGATCTAGCAGTAGCAGGTCTGTCAGGACTGGGCCAAACACAACCCACAGGTCCTCTGTGTGTGAGGAGCACTACTGTCCATGGACTGCATGCAACTGACATGTGTCCTAGAGGTTGCCATGGCAGCATGTAATGAAAGTTGTCTGGTGAGGGGTCTGCCACCTGCTCGTGTCCACTTTGGTATCTTTGGGAGATTGATATTAAATGTCAATGTTTATTGATGAGAACATTGCCGTATGGATGTTAGTTGTAGTCAATACAGTTTAGCATCTTCAAGACTGAGTAGGAAATTAAACCAGTTCTTAACCCTACCCCAGGCAGAAACAAGCTTTACAAGCAAAGTACGCCAGGAGTGGGCCTTGACTGCTGTCTTACTCATATGTTAGATTTTCAGTGAAAATGTAGATTTCTGAGCACTTCCTTAACATGAGAAATATATCATTTGAAATGTGTCAATGGGCAATTAGGATTTCTAAATGGCAGAATATGGTTAGCACGGTTGTGCTAACCTAGCTGTTAGTTCACATAATCCAACTCCAAAACGTACTAAAAACTAACATAAATTTAATAATTAAGTCCATATTATAGCATGACTATATACATCATCTCAACATATGAGGTGAAAGAAAAAACAGGGACAGAACATATGTAAACAAGCGAAACAACAAGTGTCAAAAGTGAATGCTAACGTTAGCATCTGCAGCTTCCTGTCAATGGCATCGTGACAGTATCTTTAAAGTTGTCAAAATGCTTCAATGGAAACAGAATCAAACCCTGCAATAGACGATGATGACAACAACATGACATATGCTGAAGGTTTCTAAAGACTGCCCTGATGGCTCTGTGAGCTGTCACCAGACATTAGCCCGTTAGCCCGTTAGCCTGTTAGCCTGTTAGCCTGTTAGCCTGTTAGCCTGTTAGCCTGTTAGCCCGTTAGCCCGTTAGCCTGTTAGCCTGTTAGCCTGTTAGCCTGTTAGCCTGTTAGCCTGTTAGCCTGTTAGCCTGTTAGCCTGTTAGCCTGTTAGCTCGTAGCCAGACCACGGGGGTCGAGTGTGTAGCTGTGCGGCAGACAGAGCTCTGACAGCGGGGAACACTTACAGGAAAAGCCCGTATTCTCATCTTGGTGTCCTTCTTGGTTCCGCCTTTACTCAGATTGGACATGGCTGCTTCGTCTGTGGGCGCTGTATTTACATGGAAATATCCTCCGGGTGTAGACCGGGTGGCTACAGGAGGAAGGAGCAGCCGAAAAGCTTCCAGCCGACTCTCGCAGCTCCTCGTCCCGACTCAAGCTGATTGTTGACAGCCAGGAGCCGCAGCCAAAGAGCCGAGACTTTACACAGAGCAATGGCGGACCACCTGCGCGTCTCTGCGCCGCTCTGCGCCGCTCTGCACGTCGCGCCGCTCTGCACGTCTCTGCGCGTCTCTGCACGTCTCTGCGCGTCTCTGCACGTCTCTGCGCCGCTCTGCGCCGCTCTGCACGTCGCGCCGCTCTGCACGTCTCTGCGCGTCTCTGCACGTCTCTGCGCGTCTCTGCACGTCTCTGCGCCGCTCTGCGCGTCTCTGCGCCGCTCTGCGCGTCTCTGCGCGTCTCTGCGCGTCTCTGCGCGTCTCTGCGCGTCTCTGCACGTCTCTGCGCGTCTCTGCACGTCTCTGCGCGTCTCTGCGCCGCTCTGCGCACGCACCGCAGCTCCCGCGATACTCCGCACCATCCTTCACTAACTTTACACCTTGTTTTTCTCTAATGCTACCTGTTCTTGATTACATTTGGTTCAACCTCTGCGATGCATAAAAAAAGCAACAACAAAAAAGTCTGGTAAGTTATGTCAACCAACTTGTGGGCATAAGATGAAACCATAAATATTAACATATTCCACGTATTTGTTAACAAACTCAGGCATTCTGGGATGACTCAGGAACACTCAAACAAATACCAAAATAAAAACAAAAACAAAAATGAATGCGAAATTTTATTGGGAAATGTGTTTGTATTCTTTATTCTATTATCTATTGAGTTATGTTTATTTACTCTTTGTTGATCGTATGCATTATAAACTAACTGACTCTAGAGGAGTTTAGATGTTTGAGTTCAGACACAAATTTTGTACATACACAGATTGATCCACGGATTTAAACACTATAATTTAGTATTTATCTGTTTATTAATATTCCCTCTATTATATTTAAGTCCATAAATTTTGTTGTTTGTGAAATGGGCCTAATTGCCTTATCAAACACATCCAACCACAGAGCTTTACCAAGACTTTTCTCTATGCAATTTGTGAGCACTTACAATACGACTTTAGACATTAGAGGGCCCAGAGTCAAGAGCCCAGCCATTTGATTATACTTCAAAGGCTTCACAAGCAGATTCAGTTTCCAATATTTTAGACAGGATTTCTGAGAAAAAAGTTAAAGTGAGTCAACCAGAATAAGGCTTTCACCATATTTATTTCAAGAAAAGCAACAAAATCAAAAGTCTCATTCAGTAATCTTCTCAGAATCCATGTCCAGCATAAAAGATCATCAACAATCAGACTAAACCTCTAAAATAAAGTGTATTTAATAATAGAATAATTTATATAATATAATGAATTTGGCATATTTGTTGTACATGTAAATTCTAAATAAACATTGGGCTTTTTTGTTTCAGAAAATCTAAGCTTCTTCAAAATGGCATGAAAAGGTGAACAGGATGCAACAGTTCCATTGTAATAACTACAGACAATTAGGTAACATCTTCTTTGAAAAGTCTTTATGTACAGTAATTATATTTTGCCACAGGTCCATCTGTTGAAAAAGCCTTGATTGGGTTTACTCCCTGGATTAGCCGCACTTCTCACCCCACTTTATGTCGCCTAAATTTCAATATGAAAACTTGTATATGTATATTTCAGAGGACAAAATACCTTATGTTTTTGCTTGGCAACTGAACCAGGAAGTAATAAAAACATGTTAGCCTGACATTTGGAACATACAATAAGCCCCGTTTCCACCAGCCCTGCTTGGCCCTACTCTACTCTCCTCGGCTCTACTCTGCCCTGATTGGGAGCATTTCCACTGGCTGTTTAATTGGTACCAGGAACATTTTCAGTGTGGCCCTGGTTCTATCCAGGCCAAGCTTGTGCTAAAGTGATCTAACTGACAAGAGATTGGCCAAAGGACACTCCTTAGTATCCATGGTTTCCAGCTGCAAGCCATGGTTACCACGGAATGTCCACAGATACTGGTTTGTTGTGGGTAGGGTTGCTTGGATTATGGTACCAGACTTAAAGCATAATGGAAACACAACCAGGTAGAGTAAAGCCGAGGAGAGTAGAGTAGGGCCAAGTAGGGTTGGTGGAAACAGGGCTAAGGACACACAATAGTTAATAGAAGAAAAAAACCCAAACAAAAATAACATTTCAACAACATATCACAGTCCTTTAAGTCTTTCAATAGAAGCGTCTCTCTGTGTCACCTCAATGCCTTAGGGAAACACTAACTATAAGTGCAGTATTTAAGAGGCATAGGTATATACATAGTTACTGTATCTCTGCAGTATCACACAGGCAGACACTTCGTATTGCACATAAAAAGGCAGGTAATTGTGAAAAAAGTGGTTTAGGTGAATACTGCAAAAACTATGTATCTATTTGCCCTTAGAACATGACAGTACAAAATGACACGATTTAACTTAGATAATCTTTATTCATGGCTGCATAAGGGTAAAGAAATCTGTTTAGAAATTATTTAATTAGCTTGCAATCTTCAGCTCTTGCTTCTTTGACACTCACATACTCATGTATACACAGCCCCCAAAAAACAAACAACGCATCATGATGTCACTGTTGCCCTCAACCCATAAAATATTAAATTAAACAGAAAAAAGTGGTTTCTAATGGCTATCTTTAGATTCATAATTTATGGATTTGGCAAAATACTATCGTTGCAGAGCTTTCTAATGTACACTATATATAACCAAAATTACAATGTGTGTATATAGTGACATCTTCACACATTTAATTCACAAATATACATGTTCTGAGCATGGAGGTCATTCAGTCCCCACTCGCACCATGTCCCAGCATACACTCCCGGACAGGCTTTGTATAATTCATTTCAAATATATTAAAAGCTCTAAGAAAAGGCAGCAGAGATGCGCGATAAGGCATAGAACACACTCAGAGACACACGTTGTATTTTTGAACACAGTCTAGAGTCTACATTGACACAAACAAATGAGATGGGGATTTAAAGGGCTCCCATTGCTCTTCTAGTAGAATCATACTAAAAATTAGCTTGGAGGATTCATTTATCAGGTGTAAGGTTTGGGGATGACCGAACAAACGATGACTATGTGTACTGCAGGATTCCCTAGATCGTTGTGTGATTTTGTGATTGTCGAATTGCGCTCCAGACCCACTCGAAATAATCATGAATCATAATCATAATCAAGCAGAAGCTAGAACTCAAATACAACCGCAGATGGTAAAAAAATGATCATTGCTAAACCTAAAATGAGCGTGTGGTGAGTTTGTACGGCATGCGTCTGTAAGCATCGGGTGAGGAGGCCGTAACCGCAGCAACGTGTCTGAGAGCTGCCTTGGTGGTGACGAAGCTAAGCCATAGAAACCAATAGAAGCTACGAGTATAAAACATACAGAAAGTATAGCACTTAGTCTCACCGTCACGTATGAAATAGTAGTCTTTTTACTCTTTAAACGGGGTGTGCGTTTGTGTGTCAGTGTGTGTTTTTACAATCTTAAATAAGGATCAGTAGTACAAGACGTTTAGTACGACCGTGTTTCCCATTGTAGCTGCTGCTGATTAGGAACCAGTCACTATAGCTCCTGCATTCTTGGACATGGGGAGAGACAGACACAGTGCGGCATCTAGTGAACCAGCTGAGAATAATCCACAAGAAGTCTCGACTTTTTTAGCATGAAACTTAGTCCTGCGTGGCCCGCTAAAGCATCTAAGTAACAGCACAGAGACCCCTTCCTCCTAAGGTCCCTAAAAATGAACACACTGCCTTGTGATGAGCCATGTCGAATCTTCAGGAAACCCTCAGTGGCGGGGTCAATGATGTCACTGACACTGGCCCCCGTCCGTGTCGTCAAGGCAACCGTTGAGGCAGTGGTCGCTCCCAAAGGCGCCCTGAGCCTGCAGCAGCTCATACTCCTGGTCCAGGAAGTCCAAACTGTTGTTGCTGGGTAACCCGCGGATGGTGCACTTTTCTGACACCGTGGTCCACTGCTCCTTGTTTGCAGAAACACGCTCGAACAGCTCGGTGGCACCAGGGAAAAGCTCAGACAACAACCTGTGCGGAGGAACACAAGTTAGTTCAGCTCTGAATATGTTTTAGAATATATGAGAATATTTCACTAATCCATTCATTTCTCAAAACTATTTCATTTTTGAAATAAATGTGAAGCCCTTGAGTAGGGGTGCACTACTAATTGATCATCAGATATAGATGAAAAAAAAATTAAATAAAGACTTGATTTTTAATTTCAGTAATATTTTGTATTCATAGTTATACATAGTGTATAGATTTGGAGAGATTTTGTTTTAATATTTTGATTGTAAATGTGAATGTAAATGCCTGAGCGTTAGATAAAGCCTTTTTTTTTGCTAAATGTTATTGTATTGTTTAGAATTTTTTTTTTACCAAATTGATTGAAAGTCCCTTGTACCTAGATATGTATCGAATCATGTTCGCAGGCTCTGAAAGAAAGCCAGCCATAAACAATTTGTCAATTTACTTCAAGCCTGAATAAAGAAGTGTTTATGATAAAGTAGTCTGTGTTGCCATGGCAATCATGGTGTTCTTTCCAAGATAAATGTAACTATCTGTAATGACGGTGCCTGCTTCCAGCTCACACCACCTGTTTGTGGAGCTGGCTTCAGGGAGGACAGACTGGACCGCAGCCTGCGCCCACAGGCCTCCTCTGCTGACCACATACTTCCACTATTCTCATCATCAGCTAAAACCACCAACAGACAAAACAGTCTGTTTTTCTATTAGTCAGAATTTGGTGAATGGTAAGTTAGTTTAAGCATTGTAATATTTAGATGCAGTGTGTTTTTCTCTCTGAATCCCTGTACGTACTTGTAGATGGGCATGGCAATGTGTTCCATAAAGCTGATCTGGAGCTCGGGGATGTAGGCCTTCTCTCGGTCCATCATCTCACTGGGTCGGTTCCCCATGGCTTTTTCCTGGACACACACAATGACACATGATCTGTATTCCAATGTGGTTTGACTGCAAATGGCAAAGAAACTGAATCTGAGCTAAAGTTCACTCTCCAGCCACAACATGTATTCCATAATAAATCATGTCGCCTCCTCATAACATACCAGATCTCCTTGAGAAAAGAATTCCTTGTAGATCAACTCCTGTTGGAACACAAAACATATATCTATCAATTCCAATCATTATTTTAAACAACAGACATTAGAGGACGGTTTAATCAGTGCTGCTCGGTAATGAGTGATTTTATATGCAGGTGACAAAGCACTTATTGAATTGGAGGTGAGAGGTTTAACAGTGGGGTCAGGGGTGTGCTGATACAACCAGGGCAGTCTGAGATTAAGCATAATCCTAAAACGACACACAAAACGAATATTATTACACTGCAGCATGTATTGTTTGTATGTATTAGAAAACAATTCATTATAAATCCTGAAATTGGAATGCCTCTATGTGTTTGTATCATGTATCATTGCATCTCATCTCTGATCTGTGTCCTCAAAGACGACTACTGTTGTGATTTAGGGCTATACAAGAACACACTGAATTGAATTGAAATGTGAAAAAGCCGAGACGCGTACAGCGATCTTGCGTGTAGTTTTCCAGCCCTTGGTTTGGTCTGACAGGTCACATGACGTCATCAACAGGCACAGCAGCAGTGAATGGTGATTACGGCTTTTTGGGTTGTATCCATCTGAAACACATTCATCCGACTTGAACACAGGGCTTAATGCAATACAGCTGTAAACAATCTCTGTTCAACAAACTTTCTAATACTAATCAAATATCATCCTGGGGGCCAAGATAATTCATTCGCCTTGACTTTCACACCCATGTATATGTAGTATGCATGTTTTTCTGTTAGCCCAAAATGTTCTTGCTGTAATCTGACTTGTATGATAAGGCTGGGCTATTTTGGACAAAAGAATCACAATATTTTTCCCGCATATTACCATTTCAGAAATATACGATTACATGTTTATCTCCCCGTATAAAACTAAACAAAATGACTGCTATGACAAGTACAATATTGTCTTTATGTCTTTTAAACGGCCAAAAAGAGTCGTTTCCATCGCAGTGAAACTTCAGTCCCTTGTATCCACATAATTGGTGATTTTGATTCAAAATCTTTTGATTTTGAGATTGTGATCTATTGACGTTTGCCACACTTTAGATGCCAGCGTTTTCAGATATGTGATAAAAACAGTGACCAAAACTGTGACCACTTTACAGCGATAGATGAACACTTTTAGTTTCTGTTTTTTTTGTATTAAGTGTTCTTCTGTGTTTTTTTTAGTTTTACTTTACTTCCTGTTCTGTTGATTGTCAGCCCCGCCCTAATGTATTTCACCTGTGTCTCCAAGTTAAATTCCCTGTGCTCTTTCCCTCTTTTAGTCCAGTTTTGAGTACTTCTGTTATTTCTTTTTTACTCTGCATGACAAACAGGAAAAAGTAAAATAAATAAAAAAGCAGGGAAATATTTTTGGAAGCGAGGTCTTTGTCCTGGTTTGAGGAGTTCATGTTTTAGTTGATTGATTTTTTCACAGTGTCAATTGTTTCCTGTTTTAACCTTATTTATTTATGTACTTGCCTGGTGCACACTGGTAACTTTAAAAAATGTATTCCAAAGTGGTTTTATTGCAAAAGGCAAATAATAATAAATCTGAATGCATTGAAAATCTGGTCTTCATGTGTAGTCTGTGACGGACAAGCGACAGTGAAGCAAACCGTTTAGAGGCTTTTAATGTCCTTGTATTACTTTTAACTTCTCCAAATGGATCCCTCAAAGGAGACGTCGTTCAGATAACTTATAATTACATGCGTTCAGGCGTTGCCACCCACCAGCCACAATTATATTACACAAGACTCTCTGTCCTTGAAACGCGTTAATCGCCATTACAGAGAATTAATAGTGCCACCAAATATGCAATACAGTTTGTTTAATATAAATGATTGTTAGATATGAGCCTGGGACGTGAACTATGAGCAGTTAATCATTCCCAGGTGACATTTACAACATAATAATGCCTGACCATTCATTTCCTCTCATTCACAACCTATGAGTCACGAATTTGAACAATGAGAGGAGCAGTACTCGTCTCCAACACAAGGGGGCGTGCTTACCCCACACAACCCCAGAGCTGAACCCAAACCCTCTTGGAAATGAGAATACAAACCGTCTGCCATCTTTTGAAGATCTTTGAAAATGCGAAGGTGGTGAGCCAAGTCAGTCGCCAAGATGATATCTCTCATCAGATCCAGCATGCGTTGGTAGTCCTAGAACACATCCAAGTTGCCTCAGCTCGCAGAAAAAGACAGTGAAGAGAGACTCTGATGTCTTACCCGCCGGGAAAACTTCTCAAAAATGTTGCAGCCGTGAGTGTTTAAAATGGCGATGGCCTGGGCAAAGTGGTGTCTCTGTGAAGGGAAACGTGCAAAAAGGTCAAAGGGCGTTCCTGAGTCACGAGGCCACATGACATTAGGAAGGCTCTGTGATGTCCAACCAGAGGCAGATGTCAAAGTAAAACACATCAGTCACATCACGGCACCACAGGACATCACGTCACAAGTGGTTCACAAGTAATGGATGCTGCTGACATCTAACGGGTGTAGTAGTAGTAGTAGTAATAGTAGTAGTAGTAGTGCATTAATAGGAGTAGTAGTACAGCTCTAGTAGTGCAGTAGTAGTAGTAGTAGCAGTAGTAAGCACATATATGTTCGAGAAATACGAAATACGAGAAAACAAAAGGGGGGGAGGCATAGCTGCAGTTTTTAGAGAGCACTTTGTCTCCCATAGAATGCCCCTTGGAAATTTTTCATCGTTTGAGTATATTTCTTTTAAAATGGAACAAAAGCAATCTTCTACTCTTTTCATTGTCCTGTACAGGCCACCACAGTCATGTTGCGATTTTATTGACCATTTTACTGAACTACTTTCATTCGTGTGCACAGATTTTGATAGTTTAGTTATTACAGGTGATTTTAATGTACATGTTGATAATGTTGATGACAGAAATGCAAAGGAGCTGGCTTCTGTATTTGAGACCTTTGGTTTCATTCAGCACGTGAGTGGCCCCACCCACAGCAGGGGGCACACTCTTGACCTGCTAATTACAAAGGGGGTTAATGTATCAAATGTTAATGTAGTTGATGTTGCTTTGTCAGATCATTTCTGTGTATTTTTTGACATGTGTTTTGCTAGCAAACCACCAGCTGAATTTACAATTGTTAGAAGAAGACACATACATGAAAACACAAGTGAACTGTTCATGGGAATGCTAAATTTTGAGAAAACTCCATGCTCTACTGTTGATGAATTGTATAACTCTGTCACCACCAGTGTTCTGACTGTTCTGGACGCCATTGCTCCTGTGACGGTTAAAATAGTTACCAGTAAGAAAAAGGCCCCATGGACTAAGGCAGACTCGGTCAGGGCACAGAAGCAAGAGTGCCGGAGGGCCGAACGGAAGTGGCGAAAGTCCAATTTCCAGGGCGATTATGAAATCTTTAAAGATGAGTTGGGTGAATTTAACCGGGTTCTACGTAGAACAAGAGAAATGTATTTTTCTGACATTATTGGAGGTTGCAGTAACAATTTTCGTGTTATGTTTTCAACAGTTGGTAGATTAACGAACCCCCCTGTAAAGTTGCCCCTAGAATTTTCCTCTAAATCTAGGTGTAATGAGTTCGCACAGTTTTTCAATGACAAAGTACAAGGAATCAAAAACACTATCACCTCCACAGCACGTATAACAATGCAACAGCCAGAGAAGCTTTTTGAGCTAACTCACTTTGCACCTGTGGATACTGAAACTGTCAAAAAGATAATCATGAGTCTGAGCTCCTCCACATGTAGCCTGGATATATTGCCCTCTAAATTTCTGAAGTCCGTCCTGAGCAGTTTGTTACCTTCACTGACACAAATAGTAAACATGTCTCTGTCGTCAGGAACATTTCCTATGGCCCTAAAAACAGCAGTCATAAGACCTCTCCTAAAAAAGAGCAGTCTGGATCCTGCGGGACTTCAAAATTATCGCCCCATATCGAATCTGCCATTCATTGGAAAAATTCTTGAAAAAGTGGCCTCCCAACAACTTACTGAATTTTTAACAATGAATAATTCTTTTGATATGTTCCAGTCTGGGTTTAGACCCCACCACAGCACTGAGACCGCTCTAGTGAAGGTAACAAACGACATTCAACTTCACACTGATGCAGGTAAAGTCACAGTTTTGGTCATGTTAGATCTTAGTGCCGCGTTCGACACTGTCGACCATGAGATCCTCATGCAGAGACTGGAGGACTGGGTTGGTGTCACTGGCACAGCCCTAGACTGGTTTAGGTCTTACCTGGAGGATAGGAAGTACTCTGTGGAGATTGGAGACTGCGTCTCAGATGATGTGGCCCTGACCTGTGGAGTACCACAGGGGTCGATCCTGGGACCTCTCCTATTTAATCTCTACATGCTGCCGTTAGGTCAGTTAATACAAAGAAACAAAGTGTCCTACCACAATTATGCTGACGACACTCAGATCTATGTCTCACTGACTGCAGGAGAACATGGACCACTGGATTTGCTCCTTCACTGTATCCAACAGATCAGTGACTGGATGCAAAATAATTTCCTCCAGCTAAATGCAGACAAAACCGAAATCATTGTCTTTGGTCCCCAGAAACAAAGAGAGGGCGTCATTTGTCAACTTCAGTCTCTCTCCCTACTTCCTTCAGACAAGGTCAGAAATTTGGGGGTAATACTGGACTCAGACCTAAATTTCAATAGCCACATAAAATCAATAACATCAACAGCTTTTTACCATCTGAAGAACATTGCCAAAGTTAGAAATATAGTGTCCAGGGCAGACTTGGAGATTCTTGTCCATGCATTTGTCTCCAGCAGGCTAGACTACTGCAATGGCCTGCTTACAGGTCTGTCCAAACAGACCTGTAAGCAGCTGCAGTACATCCAAAATGCAGCAGCTAGAGTCCTGACAGGAACCAGGAAGTATGACCATATTAGTCCGGTCCTCAGGTCTCTGCACTGGCTTCCTGTGGCTCAAAGAATAGATTTTAAAACGGCTCTGCTTGTGTACAAGTCTCTCCATGGCCTTGCACCAGAATACATTAGTGACATGCTGGTGTCATATGAACCGGCCCGGACTCTGAGGAGCACAGGGACTGGCCTCCTGCTGGTGCCCAGAGTGAGAACCAAACATGGGGAGGCTGCGTTTCAGATCCATGCAGCTAAGATCTGGAACAATCTCCCTGAAAATGTGAGGGAGGCGTCTACTCTGTCAATGTTCAAATCCAGGTTAAAGACTGTTCTGTTTGCCTGTGCATACAACTGAAGGATTTTATCTCCATTTCTAATGCACTGCTGTCATTTTTTTTTTTTTTTTAAATTTCTTGTGTAATTTTGAAAGTTTTAATGGTTTTATTCTTTTGTGTGATTTTGGTGTTTTAATTGTGTTTTAATCTTTTGTGTGATTTTAATGCTTTAATTGTGATTCTGGTGTTTGTTTTATGTGATGATTTGTGATGTGGACTGTGAAGCGCTTTGTGTTGCCCTGTGTATGAAAGGCGCTCTACAAATAAACTTTGATTGATTGATTGATTGATATGTTCTGAAATACATGAATACACACACATAATAAGAAAGACAATTGCATCTACCCGTTTAACGCTCACACAAAGACATATTTGATTGTTTACCTCCATGACAGATCCCTCCGAGCTGTAGAGAGCAGCAAGGACAGATTGCTGCAACAGAAAAACAAACCAACGAGGACACAAAGCGTTATTGTACACACACAGTAATGACTTAAGACAGTAGCGGTGCAGGAGAGCTGGATATGTACACAAGTATTACAGTATGTCTCTGCTCAGGAGGAGATCCACAGCAGCACGCTACGCAAACACCTCTTACAGTATCTGCACGGTTTGACCAGGACATGAGAAAAGAATCATTAATAAAGAAATGCTTGGATTACAAATGTGAATCTTCTCCACTTCATTAAGTTGTATTTACTCCAGAGGCAGGATGAAACGTGGGGAGGCAGCTTTTCAGATCTATGCAGCCAGGATATGGACACGCCTCTACCCTGACCATGCTCAAAACTAGGCTGAAACCACATTTTTAGCAGTGCATAAAACAGATTATATTTTGTAGAACTGTATTTATTGCGTTTATGTCCCTTTTTAAACCCACATTTCAATGAGTTTTAAACCCTCAATGACCCTCAATGTGTGTCTTTCATGGTGGCAAATTTGTTTTTTTTTTTTAAAGTATCACTGGTCCAAAGGGAAATCTACCACGCACAGTGATAAAATTCATCAAAAATAGTTTCCAGTTTCAAACCCATACTTTTTTATACATTTTTAAATTGCTCTTGTGATGCACTTTGAATTGCCTTTTTACACAAGTTGTGCTATACATATAAATGATTGATATCTTTATCATGCTAAAGATAGAGATTTTATACTGCTTATTTTCATACTAGAGTTAGAGATTTTTTTTTTCAGTATAGACTAAATATTCATTCATCTTGTGCTGTGTGCTCCCCATTCCTACTGTCTGGAACATGTGATGCAACACTGTGTTTATTGTTTATTTTTTTGTTGTTGCTAAAATCTAGTCAAATACAATATAATATTTCATAGGGCTGTTCTGCAGTTTAAACTATGCTGGACAAATACAATTTATTCTATGGTCCAATAAAAACTACCGTTGATTAATATTGTTTAAAGCTCATTTTAAATTCCAGGTTCCATATCACGCCGTCTGAGAAACAGATTGAGCACAAACCTGTAACTTACAGTTGGCATCAGAAAGAGTTAGGGTAAGGTCTGATATTCTTATGACATGTATTTGCGAGACATACCAAATATTTTTATTGTTTTGTAAAAAATATGACTTAAATATAGACCTCTGCGTTTTCTTTTTGGTCATGGCAACGGTTGCTAGGGAGCTTTTGCTTAGTTCTGGCAAATAAAGTAGTCTCTTTTCTCAGATTATATTTTTGAATGGGTGGAAGGCGGTTGGGAAAAAAATAATTGTCGGCTTCCTCCAACCCCTTTTTCAAACCTATATTAGTGACAATAAATGTGAAATTGTGTTTTGCAGGTTCGAAATAAAATTGAACTAACTATGTAACCACCAAGTATTGTTCTAATAAGTTGTGAGAGTGTTTTGACCAAGTAATGAAGCCTAATTATACAACATTCGCACATACAACCAGACTTTACCCAATCTGAATTACAATTAGACAAACGTTTTCTTAACATAGGCATTCTTACAGAGGCGACTTGAAAAGAGTTGTTGGTGCCGCGGTGGTCCAGGTCATGGCACAAACAGGACACAAAGAGAGCCATTATCTCTATGTCCCTAAGGTCAGAAAAAAACAAGTTTGAGTCACACTTTTGGATAACAAACACGACATTTAAAATAGAGATAAAAGATAGATCCTGCATGTCTGGTACTCACTCGAGGTAGTTGGACAGCCTCAGGTTTTTGTACATAAGGTAGCAGAAGTGTGAGACTGAGAAGGCGTGCATCCAGTTGTGGTAAGGAGGGTCTCGGTAACCTTTCTTTACCATCAAACAGAATCTGGAATCAGAAAACCACAAACCGTCATTCACTGCATTCAAATGGGCAGAGAATGTGGACTATGCTTTTCCCACAAGTGACCCGCCTACTCATGTCCAAATACAAATACATATCTAATGTTAGCCTGCGCTCCTATTGCATCTGCTCATCTTGTCTCAGTACTATTCGATTGACAATACTACTTATTATTCCACTGGGTGTTGCTGGTATTAACGGCTTATTAGGTCTGTCCATTAAGGCCAAGGTCTGATATTTCTCTGTTCAGACCAAGCAAGCGAGGTTAATAAATGTTTTATTATTACTATTATTACAACTATTTTTAATTTATGCAAATATCGATCTCCGACTTGGTTTTCCTAATTGTGTTTTTAGCTTTCTGGTCTGCGATGAAGTTGTCAATCTCATCTTGTCTGTTAGTAATTTTTTCTTCGTTATTTTCTGTAATTTCTTCCTCTGGCTCGTCAAACTTGTCCGATAATAGAATTCACTGAGAATGCTCCCAGTTGTCGCCCATTAGGAAACTCAGGAAAGAAATCAATTGTGATACGCACTGTTCGGACCAATTGTCATGGTAACGGTCTGAGATGGGAAAATATCAGACCGGTGATCAGCCAATCAGACTATGCGTACGGTCCAAGTCATATAATAAAAGTACGTATATACAGTATGCATAGTAGTAGGAGGAACAAAAAATAAACAAAGGAATGGGAATATTGTAAAGTAATTATACATTTAACCATTTCTTCTTGAATTAATTAATAACATACAGTATTTATAACAAACAATGTGGCTATATGAGAACATAAATTCCCACATATCCCTGATCATGTGGATAGTTGATTATGTATAAAGAAGTTTAAAGCTTTTGGGAAGATTGGATTCTGTTTTGGATTTACAAATGAGAAGTGATATCCATCTTCAATGCCAAACGTAATTGAAATCGCGAGTGGACATCACAAGTGGTAATCAAAAAGTTCAATGAGAGGCACTGCACTTAGTTTGTGGTTGTTAATGCTTTGTTTTTATGTGTCTTTCAAAGTGGCAACATTGATTTTTAAAAAGAAACGGTGGTCCAAAGGGAAATCTACCACGCACGGTAATAAAAATCATCAAAAATAGTTTCCACGGACCTTGCGAGAGTGTGCATGTCCATCTTGTACGTGTTGATGAAGCCCATATCCTCAAACATACTGAGGACACACTGCGGAAAACATCAGAAGCACATTTACTATAGACGCACACGCAAATGATGTGTTTGTGATGTGTTGTGCGTGCTGCTGTCGTACCATAGGCGTGGTGTCGTCATGGAGAGAGCGAGGCGTGTACGTGAACTCGGCGTAGCACGGATGGATCTCTGCGACCGGTTCGATACCAGTGACCAACAGCTTGGTCACCTCTTCCTCCGAAACCTGCAAGTGTTGACACGAGGGTGAGATCAAGAGAAAATACAGTGTTTTATCTCAAAAAGGAATTTAAATAGGAATTTGAAATGGCTGCGTCAGATTATTGTTGAAATAAATATTAGACTCCCAATTTGTCCTTTTCTATATTGGCAAATAGCTGTGTTTATTTATTTAATTGCGCAGACAAGTTCTGCTCAAAAAGAGTAACGGCACAAAGTATGGGAACCTTCTTTTTTCTTCTTCTTCTTGAGCAAATAATGGCGAAAACTTCACTCTTCAAGGTCAACAATAATGATAAAGACGATGTATCATATTGGGATGAGAATGTTTACACAAATGCCATAGAGAGACTAGAGAGAGACCAGAGAGAGAGAGAGAGAAGATGGAGACCAGAGAGATGACAAAGAGAGAGAAGAGAGACTAGAGAGAGACCAGAGAGAGAGAAGATGGAGACCAGAGAGATGACAAAGAGAGAGAAGAGAGACTAGAGAGAGACCAGAGAGAGAGAAGATGGAGACCAGAGAGATAACAAAGAGAGAGAGCAGAGAGACTAGAGAATAATCAGAGACACCTGAGAGAGACCAGATACAGTAGATACCAGAGAGATCAGAGAGAGCAGAGAGACTAGAGAGAGACCAGAGTGACACCTGAGAGAGACCAGAGAGAGACCAGAGAGAACAGAGAGAGCAGAGAGAGCAGAGAGACTAGACAGAGACCAGAGAGAGACCAGAGAGAGACCAGAGAGAGATCAGAGAGAGACCAGAGAGAGACCAGAGAGATACCAGAGAGATACCAGAGAGATACCAGAGAGAGACCAGAGAGATACCAGAGAGAGACCAGAGAGAGACCAGAGAGAGACCAGAGAGAGACCAGAGAGAGACCAGAGAGAGACCAGAGAGAGACCAGAGAGAGACCAGAGAGAGACCAGAGAGAGACCAGAGAGAGACCAGAGAGAGACCAGAGAGAGACCAGAGAGAGACCAGAGAAAGACCCGAGAGAGACCAGAGAGAGACCAGAGAGAGACCAGAGAGAGACCAGAGAGAGACCAGAGAGAGACCAGAGAGAGACCAGAGAGAGACCAGAGAGAGACCAGAGAGAGACCAGAGAGATACCAGAGAGAGACCAGAGAAAGACCAAAGAGAGACCAGAGAGAGACCAGAGAGAAAGGTCTTTTATTTTCTTTCCTGTTTGTTGTAGTAATGTATACATTTTTCTTTCATAGCCACTTTTATCATATTTCATTTTGACTTTTGTATTTATTTATTTGGCAGATGTGTGAGTGAAGTTTATTGGTGATTTGAAAACAACCTATAAAATATACATATCAGCTACGACAGGACATGTATGTTTGCACGTTTACCTTCATATGGTACATCATCATCTCATTGGCCAGATGAGATCTGAACTGGGCTTCATGGACTCTCTTGTAGAGAAGAGACTAAAACAATACAAAAACATTATTAATCAAATGCATTTTAGATGATTCAAATATACTACGCTGACACATTTTCAAATAATAATTGATGTGCAGCAGAGGGGGATTACTTTCCTTGTCGTGCATTGTCAAATTTTCACAAGTCGTTCCTCAAAGATCAACTAATAAGAGTCTAATGAGAGCGCTTGGAGAATCACAGCCGGCCTTTGGGTCCCTGTCCGCCGCTCTTCAGCCCACACTAAACTTCTCTAAATGTCCCTCGAGAGCTGCCCACTGAAGCTCTGCTCAAGGCTCTGACAGTGAGCATGGGAAAGGACAATGACTACTACTACTACTACTACTCCTACTGCTGCTGCTGCTGGATTAAGATTCCCTTCATCCCACAAGTTACAGAACAGTAGGAATGAGGAGCACACAGACACAAACTAAGACACATGAATATTAAAGATATATAGAAGGATTTTCTTGTTCCGGGCGGATCATCTAGACTAATTGTCAATCAATTGTCCATGTTTGTCAAGTGTTTTTGGGAGAAGGGGCGGTTCTTTCCTAAAATTCAGGAAAATCCTTAGAGTTTACATTTAATAGCACAACTATATACTTAAAAACATTCAAATAATATCTCTCTCTTAAAGGAGCAATATGTAAAAAATCTGGCCAAAAGCGGTACTGAAATCTCTTCCGCTCTTCCTGACTCAAGTTGCCAGATATGCAGACAAATCTAGCTGGGACCATATTAGCCAAATAGACATTTTGCCAACAACAAATCCTTTTTCACAAAGGCCACGTTAGAAATCCTTGTTTTTTTCCTTGTTTTGAAATGAATGATTTGAGAATCATAAAGAGACCTTTTATAGTTCTGCGGCCTGACATGTTTCTTTAGCAGTGAAATTAGCTCGACACGGTGAGATCTGGCAACCCAGATCTTGTTCTTTCTGATTGGTAAAATGGTGGAGGGGATTTAGGGGCTGTAAAACTAATTTTGAAATTTGACTATCTCGGCTGAACTACTGTAAACAGTTAAAGAAGTCTTCACAAGAGCATGTTTTATTAATGCCTTTTGACAGGTTGGGGGCATTTAATGATGACTTGACATGAAAATCTTACATATTGCTACTTTAAGCTTCATAAAGAATGTATAAAAAGAGCTTTGTTTACTTTGCATTCTGTATTTGTTGTTTGTGTGTGCACTTTTTATTGAACTGTATTTTAATATGTATATGATTGTCTTGTCAAGGACTACAGATGGAAAGTAGCATGGTGCTAAATCGAGAGCAGCTATATTTTTATGTGACTAGCTGCACATTGTCCTTAACAAATTCAACTTTAAACAAATAAATACAAATATATAAATAACGCAGAACTACACTACAAGTCTGGCTAGAGTCAGTCTGGCCTGTTTGTCTTTTTTGTTTGAAAAATCTGTTCCAAGGCTGTGCTAGCAACAAATAATCCTGCAGTCAAGTGTTAGTGAAAGTGAGAAACAGATTTCAATAGATTGGAATAGCTTCTTCCTCCTTTCACAGAGTTTACTTTCAGATGGTATATCAGGTCCCCCAGCTTTAACACAAACTCTGAACTTGCTTCCTCTGTATAAAACTCTTTGCTATAACAGTACCACTTTTTTTTTTTTTTACTGCCATTTAACTTTGGTGCTGAGAATGAAAAATAGCAATAAAGGAAACGTACATGTGCAATACTGATACCGCAGTAAATGGAAAACGCCGTTGCCAGGTCCTCATCAAAGCGATTGAACCAGGGTCCATTCATTTTATTTACCAGCTCAGCCACACCGATCACTTCTATAGAGAAAGAAGAAGGGATACGTATGATAGTGAGAGACCTTAAAACAGGATGAAATATGTACTCATGCTAAAAATGTAGAGATGATCTTTAGAAGTGAAAAACATGAGGAGGACTGCGAAAGGGCACTTCAACAAAAGGTCTCCAGGAACTCCAACTCTTAAAGGGCGGCGTGAATATGAACCCAAACGGAAAACATACGCCTCTGGTACAGCTGCGCGCCAATCACAATCAAATTGAAATCTTTGCACCATTCTTTGCCCTGGGACTAAAATGAGCAACGATTTGTCGATGGAACAAGCAAGTTTCCTTTGTCTTGTTGTTGGGAGGAAGAATTATATTTCAACTCTAATAACAGATACATTTTTGGTTGCTATAATCAATATAATTGGTTGCTTTGTGTCCGACTGATCGGACACAAAGCAACCAATTTATAAACGTTTTAACCATTTATAAATTGGTTAAATATATGTCATGGAACCTAATTATTCTCACCAAAACCTGGATGGCACAGCATTCCCAATCTTTCCCACACACCAGACTCATATTAGATGATGTGGGCAAAGTGTCTTGCCAAAGGACACAACAGCAGTTTGTTACTTAGCCTCAGTCAAACCAATGTGGCAGCTGATGGAACCACAGGTCTCCCATCACAGTACTAACAAAGCCCTGCCCTGCTTAGTTTCTGAGGTCTGACAGGATCAGGCTTTCACATGTTCCTTATTTGGTTTGGTCCAGCGCCCAGCCAACGTAAATAGTTAATTCTGACCAATATATATTTGTCAATACAACAACATCCAATTTCAGCTTAACCAACTAAAGGGGTAAAACCAATGTGTTCCAGATATAATGTTTAACCTTTTTCAGAATTATATTATCAGAATTTAACGTAAAAGAATGAGCAATGTTTTGTAAATGTTGTGAGACAAATAAAAATATCTAGTTCAAGCATCTTCTATACTTAACATTTTTGCAAAAGATCAGAAGAAACAGGTGGCAGTGGAATAGAGGTTTTTCAAATGGAACTGTCGTGGAGTTATTTTAACTTAAACTAAATTAGACGTTTAAACCGTGATTGTATGGTTTGTCTCGCTGTGCGGGAGCAGGTGTGGCGCACCGTCGTTCTCGTCTTTGATGGGGAAGCAGAGGATGTTTCTGGTCCTGAAGCCCGTGCTGTCGTCCACGCCGCGATAGAACAGCGGGTGTGAATATGCGTCCTTAATATTCAGAATCTGACCAGTGGTCGCCACATGACCCGCGATGCCCTGGTCTGCTGGGATCCGGAACTCTTTCTGAAAATGAAAGGTTTACGTTTTTAGGAATGATTGTAGTCTAACACACACAGACAAGTTTGACAGACTTCAGAGACTTGACTTGTCTTTTGTAGTTTGAGTTTTCTGAACTTGGGAGACTGCGTTTAATATGTAAGAAACACATCAAAAAGCAAAATAAGAACATGAAATGCCAAAGATAAATAGATATAAAAACCCACATTAAAGGAGTTTGTTTGTTTGATCATCACTTGAATAATTGATCAAATGATGATGATCAAATAGACATGTGCTCCTCTCTGGTCAAGAGGTTTTGTAATTATGTGAAGGGATGAGAGATGTGAACCGTGATCAAAATCAAACATTATTTTGTTTGATTTTGATTTCCCAAGGCTCACCTAAAAACACTAAGGCCCTGTTTAGACGAAGACGCTGCGCAGACGCTGCAAAGTAATTAACAAAGACGACCAGGCTCCTGAAAGCCATGCAGTTCCAGCGTCCGGCCAGTAGTGGGCAGAGGAACTTTACAACACCCCCCGCCCTCCCAGCAGTACATTCACTTCCTCAACAACATCCTCCTCAGGCGCCGCAAAGACGCGAAAGAATGCACCAACATCATTCTGCATTTCACAGCAGCAGCAAATATGGAAACTGAAACTACAGCTTAGCGGGGTTTCGTTTGAACACGTTGGCATTAGTTTATCCGCTGCCATTGTTGTTTTTGCAGCAGAGAATTCACACCTGTCATTAAGGATGAAACATGGAGTGCGTTCCACATATTGTATTATCGGCCACAATTTCATACCGTTCCATTCCGACTCTGACATAAGTAAGTGTCACTGATCTTCTGTCCATGATATAATGTTTCTTACCTCTTCATCGCTGACCACACCTCCATCGAACACCTTTGCCACCAGCTCATGGGTGAAGCGGTCCAGAAGGAACACTGAACAACTGCAACACACCAACAATGTAACACCTCTATTAGACCACTACAAGTATATACCACAATATGCACTAAATTACATACGGTCTCTTTCATTAATAATCAGTTTAAATTGTTCTCGTACAGATTTTCATGCTTCATTTTAACGTCTGGCCTAGAACTGTGTGTGTTTGCGTTGTTTTATCTTTAATGACAGTTGAAAATACATTTAAGCCGAGTTTGTCTATGGTTTAGAAAGACCCGAGTGGCAGCAGGGTTTCATTCCAACCAAGCAGGAGCACAAAGTCTCGGTTCAGACTGGAGTCACTTGAAAAAATGGGTGTAGTCTGGTGTGCTCCTGTTTGGTTGGAATGAAAACCTGCAGCCACGTAAGACCTTTGAGGACCGATTTGACACCGGAGATATCATTCATTCGTTGTGTTTTGGGTTTTAATAGTTAGTTTTTGCAGCTTCCTGGGAGTTCCCTTTTTACAAAACACCAACCAACACTACATTGTAAAAGTGTATAACCAATATGGCTACGAGTTTTGTAAATAAAAAGAATTGAAAAGTTGAAACTTGGAAAAATTAGAGTATTGATCAAAAGTTCATTCATTTCTGTAATTCAACTTAAAATGTGAAACTACTGCATGATTTAGACTCATAACCTGCAGAGTGAGTTAAGCCTTTGTTTGTTGTTACTTGAATGATTGTGGCTGACAATTACTTTCAAAACATGTAAAATATTCTAATTTTCAGAAATATTTTGTTATTATTTTTCACAGCTGGACATGTTTGATAGACTGTATGTGGTGGTGGTGGTGTGATGGACCCCTGATGTATAAGCTTCTGCTTCTGGGAGTTCCATTTTCACAATGTAGCACATGTACTTTTAGGGACTGTGTGAATTGTGAATAAACTAAACTAAACTAAACAGCTGTGAACCATAATTATCAACATTATGACAAAAAAAGGCTTGTCATATCTAATTTTGCTCATACTAAGTCATACTAAGAAATTGATATTTGAACAATATTCTAATTTTACACCTGTGGAAAAAATTTGCACTTTTTCTCAAGAGAAACACGTTCGTAACCGTCATCCATGAGGCAAACTCGTAATGAAAAACGCCTTCACGGATTGACATAACTCCACCTTCTATAATAATACAGACTTTGAAGAGCAATCTCACATCTCTGCTCCACTCAGGTTCCTGGCCTCCACTATAATTTCCTGCAGCAGCACCGAGACATCATCTGCAAGAATCAAAGAGAAGCAGAGAGAAAGGGGAGGAAGTGAACAAACGAATAGACACACAAACCAAAACAGGAAATGAACAAAATAATGGTAGCTTCTGGGGCGCCATACGAGCTTTGCAATCTGACAAGACTCTGAACAGAAGGAGGCAGTTTGCTTTACCACCGCCGACAAATCAGAAAGATAATGTTCTCCGTGGATACAAATTGGAGTGTAATTATGGGATGGAAAGGTGGAGCCATCTTTTTTAATGCCCTTTTGATTTTACACTCATGATCCGATGCGTAATCACCTTTTCAGGCCGGCAATATCTCATTTCATTATGAGCGCCATTAGTGTCACAAGGCAATTACGGACAAATCGACTGTTAACGCTGAGTGTCCTTTTGTGAGGCGGACGGAGGGATAAAAAGAAGTGTACCCAAGTGTGTGAAGAGGTTCTTGGCCACTTGTAGCAGAGCCTGTGTGGGGAGACAATAGACACACAATGAAATCCGGTGCAAAAGTGGAAGTGTTTGGTTTTGGCGAAACGTCTGCGTCAGTCTGTGCGTACCTGGCATTCCACTTTGAGCTTCTGTTCTTTCTGAAAGGCTAAAGTTGACGTGAGGACAGTGGACGTGTAGCAGAAGCAGTGCTGGATGGCGTGCTCGTCAGCCTCTGTGTGTCTGGGAAGCACAAAATGAAAGGATCGTTTTGATGAATGCGGCTTCCCAAAATGTCCATGTTGGCTGTGTATCTTTCAGAACCTGCGACCCGTCTCTATTCTCACGACACTCTCCACATTACGATACGTCTCAGGAATAAATAAAGGGTTTGACCCGTTATCTAATGCTCTGCCCTACAAGACTATTGATGTATTTATATCCAATAGTGTATAAGTCATTTATTGAACACACATTATAAAGTTTTGGATGTCAAAATATATAAAAAAAAATCAATATATATTTATATGATAAAAATAAAATAAAAATAAAACATGTAAATAAAAGAAATCAATATTACTAAATACAAAACCAATATTGTATCTGTTTAAAATAAATAACAATAATAATATTTGTGTGGCACATCCCTAGTTGAAGCTTTGATCATTAGTATTTAAAGCTGTCATTAACCAACTGTGAGAGGAACTCTTTCTGCAACAGATCATGTTCTGAGTGATCTGACGGCTACACTGAAAACGTGTTGTGTGTCTTTGGGTTGTTGAAAACAATCTACAGACTGGGTGTAGTCTGTCTTTCTTTGCCTGCTCAAGATGCTGGTATAGAAAGACAGACTGGGTAAATAAAACCTATCTGCTGTTCTTGGCCTCACCAACAGAGGGCAGTGTTACACAGGTGACCTGCGTTTGGGCTTTTCAGCTCCAGGGCCTTATTGCCCAGAGAATCCCCAAATCCACAGACAAGAAGAAAAATGTATTTTTCCAGCAATCAAACTGCTCTGAAGGATTTAGTCCTGGGGCTGTGGTCTTATCACAGCCTCCAGTGGCCATGATGAGATGAAGTCTGCAGGCTGTGTGCTGGTTCAGGTCATTTGTGGGCTTCAATACGAGAAGGACACAAATACGTTAAAATATTCACAAATGTATAATACAATGGGGCCTAGTTTATTCCAAATTGATCTGAAAAATTCAGAGGCTACACATTTTGTATTTTTGTACCACATGCAAATAGTCAAACTCTGATCCCAAACTGGTATTATGAATTATTTATCATCTGTAATTTTAATCAGACGTCATAGTAATAACCTAATGCTATAACCCCAAATACGAGGTGGTCACAAAAAAATGGATAAAAGTAAAACCCTTTTGTTTAAGCCTCAAACCAAGTTTTAAAAAGTAGTAAAGAAGTGAACAAACTTTTATCATGTCCATCCCCAGAGTCCAAACAGACAATCGACTTCTAGGCCACCATTTTCTATTGTTTGTTCTACAGTGCACACAAAGGCCAAGAAGTTCTAGACCATACTGTAGTAAATTGTTGAATAGAGAATTAGTTTGTATATTTTTGTGAGCTACAATGTTTACCCAATTCAATGTTTATCTAATTCAATGACCACCTGTTGCATGGCACAATAGTGTTTTTTTACTGCTGGGAAAAAGTGTGAAAATAGATTATTATCGTACACGTTTGACCAACACTGAATTTGATTAAAAAATAAATAAGTCAGTAAAGTGATGTTTAGAGATAGAAAAGCAATTCTGACATGAAAAGCTGAAAATACCTGCAACAATTAGGTTTTTACCTCCAAAACTACGCACACGTCAGAATGTTGTTTCCTGATGAAGAAAGCTTAAACAGTCTTTGGCCGGCTGTCGAAAGGCCAACCGGCTGCACCACTCCCACGTCCAATATATCGAAACTTTTGCGAACCTTTTGTGAAGTTTTCATCTCCATATGAAAGCAATGATCAGCTGTATCATTGAGAAATATGGCCTCAGTAAAAACCTGTGTAACTCTGCGTGGAGAGATATATTTATCACATTTATCACACAGTTGCCACTATAATCTGGCTCCGGTTACTATGGAAATGAGGTGCCAGCTATGTGACTGGAGCCCGTGGCAGAGGCAGAAATTATGGGCTCTAATCCGCTCTCATCTATCTTAGCCGTCAGAGGAGGAGCGTGAGTTGTGGCATACGGGATTGTGTGTAAGCCCTTGGATGGCAGAGTCAAAAGGACATGTGATAGGCCCCTGATAGGAGCACTTAGAAACGCACGATTATGAGCGGGTCACCAAACGAAAATATGCATCTGATAAGTGCATTTACATAATAAGAGAAGTTCAGTTTGACAGAGTGGGAAAGACATGAAATTTCAGAGTTATGCCGCTAAATATGGAACAGTCTCTCTCTTTCTCTCTCTCTCCCCACTGCACCCTATAGCTTCTCACTGAGCTGTGCCGTCTGCAGGGTCTAAGGTCTCGGATTTTCTCACTGAAACCACACTGACCGATTCCACTTACACAGAGCTGAAGTCTCCGGGAAGTGTGCTGTCAGTATGCTAGTTGTTATTAGATTCACCTTGACAGATAACTATGCTCAGGTTTCTGAAAGTTGTGAGTAGTACTTATAAACTGTGCTTTTGCTGGTGAATAATTAGGAAACAGGAAAGTATTAGGAAAGTAAGTAATATGGTCATTTATTTTTATGGCAGTGAAAAAGCCGACTATGCATTTAAGTAGCTCAAACTTTAATTGCAGGAGGGGGCTCTGCAATTACACTAAGGAATACAATGTTCCTGTTTTTTTACATCAGCTACAAATGGCCTTTCTCTAAATACACATTTGATCTAATTAATGCACACAAAGGAACAGCCACACAAGTTACTGTATGATGCTTCAGGCCGATCCACTCCACAGGTTCTCTTCAGTGTGTGGAAAAACTACTATGGTAGAGCCGGTGGTCAAGTATTGATGCAAGTGAATAATAGTGATGATTGTGACACTGGATATAAGAATTAGGTTTTCATAACAAGCATCATATTAATGAATGGGTTTCGGCTTCCTGTCTCCCGCAACATAAAAATAAAGATAATACATTACATTTTGGATTTGTAGTTAAACCCGTGGATACAGTAGAGCCTCTTGGAAAACAAACCTGGATGATATGTGGTACAAGCTTTCCTGAAAACCCAAATCTTTGCACCAGTTGGTGGATGTAAGACCTGACAACACCAAAATAAATGATTCGCTTCCAAACAAAGTGAAGTGAGCTGGGCGTGAAGAATGAACGACATATGGTGTAACTCCAGTTTCAGTCTGCCATTTCCTGGCTGTTGAGCTCCAATGTGATGCTCTGAATCGTCCACTGCTTGCAATAAATGTACTGTTTGTGAATGTATTTCACATGTGTATTACTATTTTTCACGTTACTAGATGCAGAGAGTGTAGAGTATTCTTACTTTGTCCCTCCCTGCTTGTTGAAGGCGCAGGCCAGAGCCACCACCTGACCTGTGGCTCTGCTGACCACGGGGACACACAGCATGGATGTGATCTCACAGTCCAGCATGCTGGACAGCTGCCGCCGCTCCTCCTGCTCCGTCATACAGACAAATTAGTCACAATTCAAGACAAGAATACATTTGCAACAAAAAAAGGTCCACGTACGGCACTGATGTCTTGGAGAGAAATGGACTTTTTCTTTTCCACGACTTGACCAAACCTCCCAAACATAAGCTGAAACAGACCAATCAGAAGTACTAAACTAAAAACTTGTTTTCATTGAAGACAGAACAGACGTGCACATATGGTTGTGCTGATTGTGCGATGGGAACTGGGAGGCTTTTGGCTGTAAATTGAAAACTATAGAAAAAACAAGTATTGGCCATATGCTGTGTTTTGTACAGGCAATAAGTAAGCAGCGACTTAACCACTTAACCACCAGAGATCATATCAGACGAGTTAAATAAATCATGTCTCCTTGCATTCTATTTAATTTAACAGCAATAACAGAGCCAGCTAGTGTTTGTTTGTGCGCTAATATCTTTCTACGTTCAGATTTCACACTTAATTTCTCCTCAGCTCTACGCTCTGTTCGCATCATAATAGAAAGCCTGCTTAAAAATGCACTGCTTCCATCGCGAGCCGGGAAGACGCCGGCACCCAGAGGAAGTGATTACCTTTCTCACCCAAATTTCTTAATTACAAAGCCCTGACAGGGATTATGAGCGATTACATGTAGGAGGGCCATAGTGTCAGTCGGAGAAACCAATATATCACCGCAGCAGCTTTAGGAAGCACAGTGCACCTCCCTAACAGGATTTGGTGTACTAGGCCATTCCAGCTCACATGTGCAAATAACACAAGAAATCCTATTAATCTGGGAATGTTTGCAGAAATTAATGAAGGGGACCAAATCAAATACGGAATTAAGGAATTATAACATGAAGCAGAGCAGAGAGGATACTCACTGGGAAGCTGATCTCCTCCTCCAGGACCTTATCCCCAACCACCTAAAATAAAAGGGCAAAAGAAAGGCTGGTAATTCAAAGTTATTAGGGAGATGATGAGAGAAGGCTGATGCTAAATATTGTACGCTGAATACAGAGGTTGATTTTGTGAGCAGAGGGTCAGCGTCAAGACCAGTGGGGCGGCTGCGGCTGTAAAGTGCTGTCATTGTGTCCTTGGGCAAGACACTTTACCCACTTAGCCTAGAATGAGTCTGGTGTGTACGGAAGAGCATTGCTGTCACTCAAAAAAAAAAAAAAAATTGTAAAAAAAAAAAAAAAAAAAAAAAAAAGATCTCATAATTATGAGATAATTATCTCGTAATTATGAGATAATTATCTCGTAATTATGAGATAATTATCTCGTAATTATGAGATGATTATCTCGTAATTATGACATATTATCTCATAATTATGAGATTTAAAAAAATAACAAACAACAGAGACACTGACTCAGTGGTGATGATGGGGCTTTTTGATTTACTGCACTTTTATCATCTAATTGGATTAAAACATAAGGAAATACAGGTTGTTCTTCAAGAAGATGGCTATGACATGAGCTTGTCCACTCTGAGAAGGCGTCTAAGACACTATGGATTGTTTAGGCGCACCGCTTGCACGGACCTCCTTGATGTTGCATTGTTTATACAAGGACAACTGGAACATTACGGCAGGCTTCATGGATACAGGTTAATGCACTTGAAATGTATTCAAGCTGGATTGGTGGTGTCTCAAAGAACAGTGCGCCACCTTATCGGCATTCTTGATCCAGAGGGTGTCGCGCTCAGATCAAGCCAACGTCTCATCAGACGTGTTTATAACAATCCAGGGCCAAATTTCCTATGGCACGTTGACGGCTATGACAAATTGAAACCATACGGGATATGCATCAACGGGGCAGTGGACGGTTTCTCTCGAATGGTAATCTGGTTGCATGCCTTCTCAACCAACAGCGACCCCAAAGTTGTGGCTGGATACTTCATGAATGAAGTGAATCAGATGCAAGGGACCCCTGCGAGAATTAGGACAGACTTGGGTACAGAGAACGGTGTCATGGGCGAGCTGCAGAGATTTTTGCGGAGTAACCATGATGACAATTATTCTGAAAACTGCTACATTACTCAACCTCTCAAGAAATCCCATAGAGTGGTGTCCGTGGTGTCTGGTCCACCCGGTCCTGCTGAAGCCATCGTGTGGATAATGAAGCTAGCAATGACAGCAACTTTGTGACTATGACAATTTTTTGACTAATAAGGAAGAATTTCATAATAGATGGTTAAAATATTTCTTAATATAATCAAATATTTACCTGTACTGTTGGTGAAAGTTGTAGATGAAACAATGAACTGCATGCAGCCTGCCTCATGAGATTTTTTTTTTATTTCATTTTTTATCTCATAATTATGAGATAGTTATCTCATAATTATGAGATAAAAAATGAAAAAAAAAAAATTCTATCTCATAATTATGAGATAACTATCTCATAATTATGAGATCTTTTTTTTTTTTTTTTTTTTTTAACAATCTTTTTTTTTTTTTTAAGTGACAACAATGCTCTTCCGTAGGTGTGTGTGTGAATGGTTGGAGGTGAATTGAATTGAATCCTTTGTAATACCATAAAATAAACAAAAGAAAGATATTGTAAAAAGGGGTAGGACACATACAGTACGTTTTACTTCTACCTACTCCTTTTCGATATGTATAGCCTCGCTTCTGTCAGTGTGCCCCAGGGCAGCTGTGGCTAGGGTAGTATTTCATAACCACAGTGAAGAGAGAGAGAAGTGGAGAGAATTAATAATGCCATCTGAAGTGTCTTTGAGTGTCCAAAAAGTGCTAAATATATAAAACTAATGTATTATTATTATTTTTATTATCAAACCCAACATTTGCAACACATTATTTGCCCCCCCCCAATAACATAATACCGACTGTTGTAACTGTAAATGACTGCAGTAAGTATTTGTCAGCAGCTGTAACATAACTATGCATTCCACTACATAGCTAATTTAAATGTTATTTAATTACAGTAACTCTGTATTTGTAACTACATCCACCCCTCCCTGTAGGACAGAGAGACAGAATCCTCCAGTGTTTAACTCACTTCCACATTAGCAGCGTGCTATGTACACAATTGAATTTGGAGGTGTGTAATTGGCCTCCTGAGGACTACGGAGGGAGGTAATGATCACTGTGGATGCACTGTACCTGGCAGAAGAGCTGGTGGTTGTCCTCCGACACCAGCAGCAGACAGCAGCACTGCGATTTGGTCTGCTCCTGCAACTGTACACAAGCAAAGCAGACAGCCGTTCAGTGCTCATGTAATCTTCTGCACACTCACATCAGGAAGGGATTGTCTAAAGCTACTATTTAAGATTCTCTCAAGGCGCTAAAGACGAGATTAGAGAAAGGACAAAATGAAAAATCACTGAAGCAGAGCAGTGATGAAAAAGTGCATTGTTTGTCACAAGCGTTACAGAACGTGCCGGAGTTTCAGAGTGGGGCAGTGCAACAGTGGACTTGTTTCTTGTGATATTGCATTCATGCATCAAACAAATACAATATGCATATTATTTGTTCCATATTTGGAGATTTATTTTTCTATTTCCTGATGGTCGTCAGTGCCTTTTATTTTGTTTTCTTATACATGTAATTGAAAAAACCCCCCTGCAATGTAGCTAATATTTGTATTCTTATATTTTGAAACATGATGTATCATCGTTGATCTCCAAAGCTGATCGCCAAATACACATTCCTGCTTTCCAGTGTGTTTATGTGAACAGCAGAGAGAGACACAAGGAAAAGCGAGGAAATACACAAGATATGTGGTTATCGCAAGAGCCTACTAAATCAAGTTTTAGTAAAAAAATATTGGAATAAACAAATTCTTCTGCAAGTTTATAATCAGTAGCATTGGGGCAAAACAGATATACTGTACGTTTTACACAATCTTGAGTGTTTCTATCCATGCCAAATGTGACATGTACATTTCTCCTGTGTGAGATTAATAAAGTATATCTTATCTTATACTCTATTGGGGACATATACTGTATAAACATACAAACACCAGGCAGTCGCTGACTACTTCATCATTTTGAGACTGAAGTAGTTGTACCCATACACCGGGAAAAGACCATTCAAGACAAAGTAACCATAATAGGTAAACAAATATTTATCCCAGTCTATCATTGTCACTGACTAAAAGAAGGTATGTCACAACAAATGATGGATGTAGAAGCCCCGTCTCATCTTTAGCAGATGCAGGTTTTGTATAATAAAAAGTGAAGGCAGTTTAAATTATGTTTTGTTATGTTATGTTTGACTCTTGTCTTTGAAAATGTTCTTACATAGTGGAAAAGAGTGAACTTCTGCTAAACTGCTAAATCACATACCACACATGTCCTTGTCAAGTCATTCATTGTAAAGAAAAGTTTAGTCATCGGCAACTATGCAAGTGAAAAAACAGTTTTTCAGAGAGCTTTGCTTTTTGAATTCCCTTTTGTTGAATAAAACCTTGGCTCTGGCACAGCCTCTGCTTTTATGACTGTCTTTTCACTTACTCAACATTTAATTCAGATACCTTTTATGTTTTCAATTTTGAACATAGAAAAGAATCAAGGTTTTTTTCTATTCACGGTACAGCGTGTCTTTACAAACAGGAGAGAGCTGAACAAGTGTATGCGGCGCTGTGCTCTGCTGGAGGTGCAGAGGTGGAGACCAGAGTCCTGCTGCGGCCGGTGATAGGAACGCGTTCTCGTTCATAATAATCACCACTCATTATCTGGCAGCCGCTCGGGCTATGTGCGTCGCATCACGGACACGGATGCATCAGGGACGTTTGAATGTAGGATTTTGTAAAATACATTCGTTTCAATTTTTTTTGTCTCCTCCGCCTGGGAGGAGACAGTGAAGCAAACACCACTGCTCACAGACTCAATACAGGTCATGCCTCACCTGCTCACAACATGTATGTAGATGTATGAAGTATAGTATACAAATAAATGTTCTTTATCTCTTATTTTTTATCTCCAAAGGACAAGAATTTTCATAAATTATAAACTTTACACTTTCCCTTTTATATTTATTTTACCATCAAAGGTCCCATTATCTCTGCAACTTGATTTAATTGCAGGAACAGCTACTCAAGTGACCCTAGAAGATAAAATAACAGAGAAAGCAAGGTCTGTCTTGATTGTTTAGCAGTAGGTTGGGCTTTTTATAACGTGACCTTAGCCATCCGTACACTCCGTTCAATCATCATTTCACTGCACGTAACGTCTGGGTCTGTTCCTGGGTTAGCGAATACAATCACTTGAATTTCAACCGACCAATCAGAGAGTGCGGAAGGCAGGTGTTGTGGGTGACGTCAAGAGTTTGCGTCGAACGGGAAGGTCGTAGTTTGGCAATGCCGAAAATGCGATAGTAAAGTAATCCGGTCTGGTTCTATCAAGAAAATGAAGCCGGAGCAATAGGAATGTTTAGCAAATGTAATTGCTGGAAAAAATTGTGGTGCTACTCCCCACGGGCTCCGTTAGCGGCAAAGGAGATGGCTAAAGCTAGGCTAAATGCTAACAACAGACTCGGGCGCACTACATACGTCACGGTAAACTCAGATCCAATGGTTTCAATCTGCAAAAGGAGTGAACCCCTCCCACCTGTTAACGGAGTCAATGGAGGAAATCCAGACCTTAGTATGAAATGAAATTTGTACTATGGTGTGGTACGACCAGGCTAACTGGCTTCTTATAGAAAAGCACAAACTGTGAAGGGCACCGTAATTCTGAAATGCACTTACCTCCCTGACTAGCAAGTCCAAGTCAAGTCCAAGAGAGACAGAGAGACAGAGAGAGAGAAAGAGAGAGTGAGAGAGAGAGAAAAAGAAAGAGAGATCAATACTATTGACCAGATGCATCGCCGTCATCCAGTCACGTGATTGTGCATGAGCTTACGGCGGAAGTAGAGGAAACTAGCATTAGCATTAGCATTGCGGCGAGAGCAAAACGGACACAACTCTTAAAAACTGAGACTCCTAAATCGAGACGTGGCTTCTTCAAGCACGTGTATGGAAGATTTTTTGTGTCATCAGATTTAGAATTTTTTTTAGCTTGAATTTTTCCATTTGAAATTTTTAACCCTGAAAAATAATTCAATGGTGAAAAATGCACATGACACATCCGGTGTTCTGACGAGTTTTGTGCTCTGTCAGTGGGTCTGTCAGTTGCTCTGTCAGTTGCTCTGTCAGTTGCTCTGTCAGTTGCTCTGTCAGTTGCTCTGTCAGTTGCTCTGTCAGTTGCTCTGTCAGTGGGTCTGTCAGTTGCTCTGTCAGTTGCTCTGTCAGTTGCTCTGTCAGTTGCTCTGTCAGTTGCTCTGTCAGTTGCTCTGTCAGTTGCTCTGTCAGTGGGTCTGTCAGTTGCTCTGTCAGTTGCTCTGTCAGTGGGTCTGTCAGTTGCTCTGTCAGTTGCTCTGTCAGTGGGTCTGTCAGTTGCTCTGTCAGTTGCTCTGTCAGTTGCTCTGTCAGTTGCTCTGTCAGTGGGTCTGTCAGTTGCTCTGTCAGTGGGTCTGTCAGTTGCTCTGTCAGTTGCTCTGTCAGTGGGTCTGTCAGTTGCTCTGTCAGTTGCTCTGTCAGTGGGTCTGTCAGTTGCTCTGTCAGTGGGTCTGTCAGTTGCTCTGTCAGTTGCTCTGTCAGTTGCTCTGTCAGTTGGTCTGTCAGTTGCTCTGTCAGTTGCTCTGTCAGTTGCTCTGTCAGTTGCTCTGTCAGTTGCTCTGTCAGTGGGTCTGTCAGTTGCTCTGTCAGTTGCTCTGTCAGTGGGTCTGTCAGTTGCTCTGTCAGTTGCTCTGTCAGTGGGTCTGTCAGTTGCCTCTGTCAGTTGCTCTGTCAGTTGCTCTGTCAGTTGCTCTGTCAGTGGGTCTGTCAGTTGCTCTGTCAGTGGGTCTGTCAGTTGCTCTGTCAGTTGCTCTGTCAGTGGGTCTGTCAGTTGCTCTGTCAGTTGCTCTGTCAGTGGGTCTGTCAGTTGCTCTGTCAGTGGGTCTGTCAGTTGCTCTGTCAGTTGCTCTGTCAGTTGCTCTGTCAGTTGGTCTGTCAGTTGCTCTGTCAGTTGGTCTGTCAGTTGCTCTGTCAGTTGGTCTGTCAGTTGCTCTGTCAGTGGGTCTGTCAGTTGCTCTGTCAGTTGGTCTGCGCATGCGACATTTTACTGAGGTAAAGACAGGCGCTAGCTTTCAGCAGGTCTATCGGTTGATAACATGAATCTAACAGGTTGATATGGGATTTCTAATGAATGGATTCTAATGAAACCAAGGCGAATAACAAGATGATACTACATTAATTAGTCTTTTTGGGTAAAGGTGCTTGTTTCAAATCATTATAGCTGTATATTCCTGTTTATTTATTTAGGCTGTGTGTGTTTGTTTGTGTTCATGAAAACCATCACATTTGAACATTTATAGCAACAAAGGACAGTGTTATTGTTGGTATTGGTATTTGGGTCTAGTTTCCACAGGGCTCACTTGTGTTACTTGAAAAAGAGTTCCATGTAAAGGAATTAACAAAAAACAGTTATTCCACAGCTGATGATATTTGCGGAGTTGTCTTTGAAATAAAGTAACAACGGTAAGAACACCGTATGGCTGCTTATTTCTTGAGCTGTGAAAAGTTACGTGCTCTTTCGGCTCCACTTGCTCCGTAAACAAAGAAAAATCTCTCTCTCTCTCTCTCTCTCTCTCTCTCTCTCTCTCTCTCTCTCTCTCTCTCTCTCTCTCTCTCGAGATAACGAGAGATTCCAACGTCAGTGAAGAGAAAACAGAGTTCATTATGCGCAGACCAACTGACAGAGCACAGAACTCGTCAGAACACCAGATGTGTCATGTGCATTTTTCACCATTGAATTTTTTTTCGTTGAATTTTGACTGTTGAATTTAACATTATGAAATTGACAATCAGTGACTGAAATTCACAGAAAAACATATTCAAGATGTTAAAAACATTCAAATAGATGAATTCAGGTCCATTTAAAATTCAATTTCTGATGGAACAAATAATCAGTCTTTTTTTTTTTCATTGAAAAAAAAATAATTTGAATATTTTGAGGGTGAATATGTCATTTTGAAATTTTAATCACATTGAAATTCGTAAACTGAATTTTTAGTGACTATATAAATAGTGACAAAATATTCAAACTTTTTCAGGGTTAAAAATTTCAAATGGAACAATTCAAGCTAAAAACAATTCAAAATCTGATGACACAAAAAATCTTCCATACACGTGTTCAATAACGTTATCGGTGACAGTAGGACATCAGGTCAGGGCTCACAAAGAGCGTTATCTGGAGAAGTTAAGGATCGCCGAACTGGAGGCTGACCGTACCTTCTCCCCACAGTCAATTTAATCGATTAAATTAAATGTCTAATTTTGCCCGAGTTCACCCCACATGATCTTTATCATTACGTCGTTAACGTCCCCTCACACTGGAGCAGATTTATATGTACATTTTGCTGGTAACATTAGCGCATTAGCAATAGTTCACTTTTCTGTGGCTTTTCTGTCTGCAGCCAAACATGAAACATATTGACGGAGAGGAAAAGAATGAAAAACGCAACTGACGTCTAAGATAAGAGATCCTTTATTCGTGACACAGTGGGGAAATGTCAATGTTGCAGCGCACAGACAGGACAGTAGTAAGAGACACGTTTGACTTGTGTCATTGTCCTCCAAATGAATGAAAATAAAATAAATGCAAACTTGTGATTGATTTAAGTCCAAATAAAGCAAGTCTGATTTGTTTGAGTCTTACTGCTAATTTACACATCACGCGTTACAGCACGTACGCGTTATACGCGCAGCAGACGCGCGTAACTTTTTTCCATGTTAACCTATGATGATATTTACACTTCTAGCGTTATACGCGTGTATGACGGACGTATGACGCGAAGCTGCGTCATAAAGTCTGGCGTCTGGCCAAACCAGCGCACAGAGACCATGAGGACAAACACATGCATGTGATGTGTGTTGCTCTACATCAGTCTCTGTACTGTCCTCTACACTGCTCCACAGACTACACAGGGAGAGCATCAGAAGGACCTGAGCAAGGCCTGTGTAGATACTCCAAAAAAATGTTACGCGCAGAGAGCGCGCAGTAAACGCGTACGCGCTGTTTACGCCTACTGTGTAAATTCCCTGTTAGAGGGACAAGTCCAAGTCCGAGTCCGCCCCTAGACCCTAGCCTCGCCTCTGCAGGTCCTAATATTCTGGCTGAAGTGTAATCAAAACCAGACACCTGTATGCTTTTAGCACTAGCACAACATATAGCACACCCACGTCTCGCTTAAGCATCCACGTCTCCTTAGCTTGCATTCTTCTCCATAATCTACAGAACTGGAAGAAGAACACAGCGACAGAAATAAACACAAGTTCTCTGCCAAAACATTCGCCCCCAGTCAAACACGCAACTGACTGAACCCAACAAATCCTGCACCCTCTTCTCCCAAATACTGTTAATCCCATAAGAGCTGCCCCAAGCCTTTTCCACACAATTCTTCTCAAGCGGCCAGCCATCACTGCCTCTTCTCCCCATGCCATCACAACGTTAACAATAAACAGGAGAAAAGTCTGATTCAGAACATATTTAACCCTCCTCGAATCTCACTATCTCTCTCTTTTCAGATGGAGAGTTTAGAGCACGAGCTGGGATGAACAGCAGCAACACGGTTTGCATCAAGAAGGAAAATGGAAAGCTCTACTCCAGCGTCATAATAGATACAGGACTTGCTTGACGGTATATAAACTGCACCAGCAACATTTTCAAATCAAGTTCATTCTGTCCGCATATAGGCTGCACTTAAACATAAGCAGCAGGTTTTCATGTTGTAATGTCACGCTTACAACACGGAAACGAAGGGAGACAAAGAAAAGCTGATAGACGACTGTTTTAACTGGACCGGAAACGATTTAATGACGAGGAGTTGTAACGCACTGTTGACTTGTGCTGGAAAAAGCTCAAGGCAAAAAACACAATGAACTCTGGGGATGCAAAAATTAACTCAATTTAGCATGCTCACATTAGCTGTTAAAAATCACGTTGGGGCTCATTCACTTCTGACCATAGCCCTAATCAACATAGAAGCCCGTCCTGCATGTGGATTCTCAACATTTCTCCGTGTCGGCGCTCTCTGCTGTTCACATAAACATTAACCACTGTGGTCTGTGAGCTGCTATTGCTATAAAGGCCACAGGAACTAAACAGCATGAAAAAAAGTATTGGCTTATAGACCGGCAATTACAGTATGTGCATTATCTGAATTTTTGTAAAGAGTTGGCGATGATTTCAAAGTCTTACAAAGGGAGTGGAAAAACCACATGGGAGATGACAAAATGCGTTGTTATGTTAAGCGTTTTGCTGTATAGGCTCTTATATGTTTCAATAAATGTCATGTATGGTTCAATATTTAATGGAATATCTGTGTTCATGTCCAATTAAAGTGAAAGTCGGTTACTTTTCGAAGGGAGATCATTTTCCAAAGCAAGCACTGGTTACAGCTGCCCATTCTCACAGCCACTGCTTCCTAATTGGACGGAATACATTTGCATTTTTTATACATAGATAGTCATTATTTTTGGTTTTTGTTATCATTTATGATATCTAAAAAAAAAAAATCTTGTTTGGTGGCCTATGGGTACCTTTGTTGCTAACCATTTTGTAAATCGTGGTCCAAAGGAAATGAGTTAGACATTATCTGATGAAGGCTATAATGTCTGAAACGAATTGAATGATATTTTGGACATCTAAATTTGTAGTGTGGCTTTTATTGCTTTAGAAATAGTCCTTTTTGTATTTGTATTTTGTTGGCTAATCCTCTAATGTCATCTTGTTTTTCTTGGTTGAAAGTTGAAAAACACACACAAAGGGTGGTGTGAACTCATTTCTGTCTGTGGCTGCTCGACCCTCTGTGCTTGCTCTCTTATCTAACTCCCCTCTCAGCTCCTTCTCCCACAGTGTGAATAATTCTCAGCATCGAGAGCGCAGCCAGGAACCAGTACATCATGTAGTCATCTTGTGATCCATCTCCACCGGCTCTGCCTATTTCTATGCACTCCTATCGAGGCGCATAGAGCTGTGCTGGACAAGGGAGCCATAATTGAGTGATAAAAAGCCTGCAGTGGAAGTAGTGACAGAATAGGGGTAGAAGTGACCACCAAAGAGAGACGGTAGGCCCTCGCTCTTCCACATTCTGTGCGTGTGTGCATGACAGATCCCAGGTACTTACATAATGGATGACTTTGAGCTGGAGAGACGCCGCATCAAGGTCAAAGAGCTCACCTGAAACAAAGGAGAGGAACGGGGAAAGAGGCGGCGATGGATGAGCTGATATCTGCTGCTTCAGGTCATGAAACAGTGGTCTGTATGAGCTGTGAAAGATGTGTGCGATGGAATATTTTTTTTCATTAATGACGCCTTTTATATTTTTACTTTTGAAGTAAACTCACTCGTACGTGTTCTAAGCCAAGGCTAATTAACCACATGAATGAGATTGAGACACAATCTCCAAATCAGGGCCATGGCTAGTGAAAGCATTAGATTGAGTTGATATTAAACTTTATTGAAGTTATTGAAGAGAGACTGACGACAAAAGAAGAACGTGTTGTTGACGATGTGCAGAACACTTCTATGCACTGATCCAGACTGACTGTGATGAGATATTACTATAAATATGTACCTTTGACACATACGCACACAGGTCCAGGGCAGAAAAAGAATAAATCCAAAGACACACTGCTTTACCTTTAAGCAGGAGGTGGGCAATCATTTTCTCCGGGGGGAAATATACATGTCATAGTGTGTTATTTCCTATTTTCTGTGAAAGCTAATTATCAAAGAAGAGGAAATATCAAGTCAAATATAGTTTCTTTGTTGTTGTTATTTTACAGCTCATCTTTAGCATACAGTATGGTGCTATTGTTTAAAGTGATTGTCTGGAGTTTGTCAGAAAAAGAGAAAGAGGTGCTTGATTTGAAAAAAACGACCCAAGCTCCTCCCCCTTCCTTTCTGATTGGTCTACACCTACGTTTCCGTAACACTTTTAATTATTAATCAGAGAACACATTATACATAAACATTATTAATACACATGCACGGAGGTTTTCAGAATGATATGTTAACGTTTTAATGAAAAAAATAATGTTTTAATGCACACAAATAAAAACGGAAGTAGCTATTATCATGAATTGCACATTTTAGGACACATCTGCAGAGGATCTGATTATGGATATAGGCTCAGTATATAAATGATTATGGATATAGGTTCATATATAAATGATTATGGATATAGGTTCAGTATATAAATGATTATGGATATAGGTTCAGTATATAAATGATTATGGATATAGGTTTATATATAAATGATTATGGATATAGGTTCAGTATATAAATGATTATGGATATAGGTTCAGTATATAAATGATTATGGATATAGGTTCAGTATATAAATGATTATGGATATAGGTTCAGTATATAAATGATTATGGATATAGGTTCAGTATATAAATGATTATGGATATAGGTTCAGTATATAAATGATTATGGATATAGGTTCAGTATATAAATGATTATGGATATAGATTCAGTATATAAATGATTATGGATATAGGTTCAGTATATAAATGATTATGGATATAGATTCAGTATATAAATGATTATGGATATAGATTCAGTATATAATGGAGGCTTGATTCTGAGGCTCCGTGAAAACAAACAACTGAGCATGAGCAGCTACGAGCATCAGCGCAGATGATTGACAGCCCTTGGCATGACTCGATTGGTTAACGTGGACGGCATCGTGGATTCTGAGCTATAGCTAAGAGAAGGGAAGGCGGGACTTACCCGTAATATTAGAATTAATAAAATGACTTATTTTATATCAACATTTAAGGCCAGGAGGTCAATTTAATACAATTCTTAAAATTTGTAATTCATTTAGAGTTCCAGACTATCACATTAAACCTTTTTACAGTATATAATAAAGGTATTTTATATATTATAATTTTTTAGCTTTAAGTGCCATATGAACCAACTTGGACTCTTTAGAGCACAGGGACCGGCCTTCTGTCGGTGCCCAGAGTCAGAGTCAGAACTAAAACTTTTTGCAACAGGCTTCCTGAAAATGTGAGACAGGCTTAACCTCTGACAATGTTCAAATCCAGGTTAAAAACAGTTCTATTTATGCTGTCCATACAAGGATTGTTTTCTCACTCTTTTTAGTGCACTGTAATTATTTATGATATGAACTCCTTGTGAGATGATTTTCAACTTGTTTTTACTCACCTCTTTTTCTGGTTTTACTTGAACCAAAACTTGCCCAAAGTATTGTAGACCGATTTACATGTTTTACCACAGATAACCTCTAGTTGGGGGATAAATGTGCTGTCAATGAGCCACCGTTTTCATAAATAACCAAAGAGATGTTGCATCAAGGTCGCATCAGCTGGAAAAAGCAGGGCGCATGAGTAAAGGAAGTGGAGGCTGCAGAATGCTGAGTGTGCGAGCGTTTCGGAGAGCTTTCCACGCCAGGGCAAAAGCAGACGCAGAGGTCAGGCAGAAAGCTGCGCGTGGCAACGGGAGCAATAAGGACTGTTGCTCTGGGAGATGGATGGAGAAAAAGAACAAGATAAAAAAACTGAGTATAGATGGAAGGAAGAGAGCGAAGGAGGACGTGTTTGTGTTTGCTGACAATTACCACACAGTAAACAATGCATGTGAGTCGCAGGAGCATTAGCGGCTACATTATGCATGAGGTTTTAAACAGTCTTCTTTAGCCAAATGTTTTGTTTTCATCAAGCTGGTCACAAACTGAGGCGAGGCCGTCTAAATGCACAGAGATTTGAGTCCAAACGGGCGTCTTCTTAGCATAATTCACCAGTACTGTATTGGCATGTGCTATGTCCACAGTTATGAAAGGAGGAGGGCTAATTATGGGTTGGAAGTCCATATTTATGTTTGTTATGAGAACTGCATTGCAATTACAACCACTATGCAAACACAATGCAGGAAGGCGTCGACGGTTAACGTTTATTTCAAATACTACTTTAACTGTTGCTGTACCTCTAGTGTCAAAGCTACTGCAAAATGACAGACTTCACTGGTCACATTGTTTCACGTGATTACATCTTAAATATTGTAGTAATTGTATTCTATATTTCTAAGTTTGTAAGACAGAGTAATGAAAATAAACGTCAGACCAATGGGGTTTGAATATGGAATGAATGGATGTGGGTGCTTATTCAATCCCATTGACTTTGTGACACATAATAATTCTTATTAGTTCTGGTAATCATGAAAAAACCTACATATAATTCATCATTTATATTTCTAAATAAGCTTTCTAATTTAATTAACTGATATTTTTTCAAGCAACCATTTTTCACTTGAAAACTTTGAAAATGTGTTACTCCTCAGTCTCCCTGGGCGTATGTAGACCAGGTGCACCTGTCCCCTTGTTGTCGGTCCATTGTTTTGTTCCTGGTTTCAGTTTTTTTACCTTTGGATTTATTTTGCTTATGGTATTTATCAGGTTGTATTATTCTGAAGCTCTGCTCTTGGGTCCTTGGGTCGTTGTTTCATCTTGTGACGCCTGATGACCCATACTTGGCCGCTCAGCGATCACATGTTTTTGTCATGATCTTGTTTAGCGGCTGATCTAACAACTGTAGAAATGAAAACTCGAGTGGGTACATGACAAGAAAGTAAGTAGCTCTTAAAAGTCAACTTTTGCAAAGTACAGAATGTCCCCTGCAGTATGTCTTGTTAACTCAAGTGTATTTGTGGCCTTGTGTGTTGTACAGTGGTGCACACGTACCACAGAGCTGCAGGATGTTGCGGTCCAGCTCGCAGTAGTCCTGCTCCGACACGTTGAGATGCAGGAGTGCATTGTGTGACTGTAGCGGCGACGGGCTGAGAGGAGGTCTCTGATAGGACAACTGGATGGCTTGGACACGCCCACAGGCCACTGATGCCTGGTATTTCAGATGAAATTGTTTTATAGTTTCATAAAAGATACATATTTCAGAAAGCAAAGAGAGTAGAGGCTTACATGTTTTTCAAATGTGTTGAGATGCACTTCATCCTGGTCACTCAGAGGACTACAGGCCACCTACAGCAGAGGACAACAGGATGCATATTTTAGGATTTCATTACAGACTTTTGTGGTTTTAAAGAGAACAATGTTGTGTTTTCAGCAGGGTCAGCCACCTGCTGAGAACAGGTGCCGTGCCCAGTTTCACATTCAACTGCATTATATCACATGAAGGTACACGTTTGAAAGATCTTATAATTTTATCAATTTATTTATTGATTATTTATATTTCTTAATGGATACCCTCACCAGAATAAAGTATTTCAATCTGGAGAGACTTAAACAGACAAAGGTGGTTACTAGAATTGTTTGTTTTGGTTGGCGAGTAATCTGGCAGTAATCTGTCCTAAATGCAAGAATGACATTTATTGCATGCTTTAGATGAAATGTGGTTATGATTTGGTGCTTTGACCCTGGCAGAGCACTCCATGACAAATACAGAGAGGGGAATGAAAATAGAGATTATGAGATGAAATCCTTCGAGACCCAAACCCTGGTGGTGGAGGCGGTGATGGGAGGAGGAGGATTGCAGCACGAACGAAAGCTGCTGCATGAACGAAAGCTTTGTGCACGATATGAAAGGTTGATGCCCGGCAGAGCTTTAATGCTGCCAGGTGAGGATTGGGGTCGTGGAGCCACCAGAGTGTGAGATTGACTGATTATTGTTGCGTCACAGAAACAGGGGGAGGATGGGAGCAGTGCACAATCTGCACAGTTTCATGTTTGTTATTTTTCTTGAACAAACAAAAATCACATTTGCACATCACAATGTAATAATACATTCTTTAACACAGTAAATTGAAATGTATTGAACTGATTCTATGTATATGCGTGTGGCAATTTGAAACATTTCTAAAATTAGGCCTGCAATTTATAAAGAAAACAAAGCACTTATTGAAGTCCTTGGAGAAAACAAAATGTTGCATCGGAGGAAAATAAAATATTTTCCAATAGAATAAATCTTGATACTTATTTCAAGCATAGATTTTCATTTTAGTTTCAGGTGAGAAATGGCTTTTGTCTTATTTAAAGTAAAACCAGAAAGGTTGGTTCTATAGAAAAGCTTGACAATGTTCAAATGAATGATGAATACAGTTAAAGAAATCATAGACACAATGGCTGTCAGAAAAAAATGAAGTATGAAATAAGATAGGATTAAAGAGAAATACAATTGAAGTCCTTGTGCTTGTTGGAAAACTGAAAAGCACTGTTTTGCTTCATGGTTCAGCGGGATGTTGAATGCTTATTCAGACCCCGAGAGGCGGATTTAGGTAGAACTGCAGTGGTTAGTTTTATCTTGTCCAGAGTCCTTCACTGACAACCATAGCTCGTTTTCTGCACTGTACACAAAATATGAGTTGTGACTGAAAGCCATCGACAATAGTAGACAGTACCACAAATACCTTTAATACCAGGTTTTATGGTTATGTGCGTGTGCTGAGGAGCATGAAAAATGCATGTATCCGGGATGTGAGCGAGTGATGCAGCCTGTTTGGGATTCACCAGTAAGACAGCGATGGCCTTGTTCCTCTCTGGGTTCAGAAGTGGAATGACAACAGCTGAAAGAAAAAAACAAAAACAAAACAGACATTATAATACATTTTGTATTGATTTAGACCAAACACTCTCCAATCTCCCGCCCTAATGTTCTGTGCATGTCCTTGTCTTGCAACTAATCTTATTTGCGTTTTCCATCTTGTTCCAATATGGACGACAAGCATGCAGAAACAACAAACATGATTGAAAAATAATGTCCCTGGTGCTGCACTGTTTTTTTGCATATTCCCATCACACCACAAGGCTTTTATGTGTGGTATTGTGCTGAATTAACAAACTTCCTGCAGGAGAAAAAGTCACTTATCTTAAAGTGCCTGTGTGCATTAGATCTTCCATTTAAAAAGGAGGTGCAGCGCCAGACAGTGTTGTATAATGAATGCAATGCAAACTGTTATATATTGGATAGTAATTCTTTTCTAAAACAGCAAAAAACGGGAAGAATTATGAAGCTATGCAAGTGCAAACTGATTTTCCTAAGAATGAGAACTCTCACCATATTCAGCAACAATATTATAAACTGCTTGCACCCTCTAAAACAGTCGCCAATGATTAGCATTCAGCGATCAAACACATAATAAAAGGAAACTGCTTTTGATTCGGTGGGATAGATGATTGCCACATTATCTGCATATAATACAGTGCTTGGCCTGGCCCTTGGATTTAATATTTTTATTTTAAAATGTTTTAATAGGATTATAGGATTATTCATCATTTATCATTTAATTTGCTTCATCAAATTCATACTCAGATTTGTCACTAATCATTTGTCGTTTAAGATTGTTGGATGTCTGGTGACTAATGTCTGGCTTCAGGAATATTGACTCATAAGTTTTACACATTTCAAGGAAGAGCATTTCAACTCAATTGCTAGGTTACATTGGCCATTATGATGACAAACCCCCTTTTGTTGCCAGAACATTCCTGCTTTTCTCCTAAACACTGATTACTGATGCAGACCACCAAATATATGGTACAAACTCTGTGTATTACATATTACTACAGTCGCTCATTTTGTCACTTAAACAAAAACAAGATGTACAACCTGACAAAAACTCAAAAAAAGACTCTTACCACTCTCTGGTTGGCAAATCTGCTTAAAACTCTAAACATAGATATTATTGACATCATGTCCGTTGTACTTAGTAGCGCCACCTGCGTGTGAAAGTCAGATTCTGTCAGACTCAGCTAAGCAGGGCAGGGCCTGGTTAGTACTGTGTTGGGATCACCTGGGAGCCACAGTGGGAAGACTGATCTATCTGGCTTTGTGTCCTTATGCAAGACACTTCCCACTTTGCTTAGAATGAGTCTGGTGTAGTGAGTGAATAATGGCATATGAAGCATCTTTGTGTGTCCAAAAAACGCATTGATGCATTATTACGACTTTTAACTACTTTAAATGCTTGTTGACTTTGTAACTTTTGTTTGAAAAGTTTAAATATGTGTTAGTTTACTGCACCCCTCCATTTCACTTCTCCTGAATCCTTCCATCCTTGTTATCCCTCAACCCCAAGCACAGAGTTAGGTGACGCTTCTCAGACCTGATTGTGTTTTGGTTCCAGACTTATGTAAGCTTGCACTCCTGCACCCATTAAAGTATCGCAAATACTGTATAGCTCTGGATGTTGGAACATTCATGAACAGCACACAACACAAACCTCTTCTTTGCGCTGGTAGTGGAGCCGCTAAACATGATCGGTATTTTTCTGGGAGTTCTGGTGGAGGCAGTCCGGCACATTGGAACCTCTTCAACAGGTCTACAATATTCCTATAAAAGACAGAAATATGAGCTATAGGTGAGGCTGCTTTCACAATGCAGGCCCTGACAGATATTTGGACACCGTGGACAATTGGAGTGGGCGGTAGTGTAATTTCACGCTATGACAAAGACCCATTGAACCAAAGCCTTACAAAAACACTATTCATTTTTAAATCATGAGTGATATGAATTCAATAGTGGGCTGGTTTGGAGCCAGACGTCGCAATCGTGGAGCTTTCATAGAACATGACTAGGGCTTCTGCTTATTTTGGAGGTGAATGAGCAAGAATAAGGAAACAGAATACCGCCTGGCGCCTGTCTCCAGTCCAACAAGTGTTTTAGTTATTAAAATGTAAATTAGGACTGGTGTGTTAAAATGATCTGTTATGGAGGGGCATGGATCAAGATGTGTCAAAAGTAATTACAATCTCTAACAACCAAAAGCTAATTTGATGAACGTGCCATTAAAAAAAGAGATGTTATTCCTTTCTGTGCATAAACTGTAGAAGGAGTGGACTGACCGAGTGTCACCCTTATTGTTTGCCTATAATGTGGAAGGAGCCGGTTGGAGCTAAGCCAAACAGGTGCTATGAGCGGGAAATTGGACTAATTTCGTAGGTAACGGCCTGGCAACCAAAGAGCCAGTCACAAGTATTGCCGGTCCGTTCCAGCTTGATAGCTAAAGCCGATGGGAACAGAAAGCATCAAATTGGTTAGATATTAAGGCTCATACCTGGATTTCCAAGATCATCCAGGATCAACCATCAAGTGTTAGCCAACAAGTATTTAGGCAATCATGAGTGTGACACAGACAGACAGAGCGCCTTTTCTTTTAAATATAAGTGAAAGGTAACAAAGAAAGTTGCAGCAAAAACTCCACACGCACTTCTCTTTTGGACTACGTTGAGCGAGTGGCCAACTACAGTAGCTGTCAGTAGCTCACCACACCTTTGCAAGAAGTTCCCCAAAAGATTTTGCAGTTACATTCAATAGTTGATTACTCCACAATGTATGATTGAAATGGCAAATCATCCATTTGTGTCATTTGACTGTGGATGCTAGTAACAGTAAACTAACAAAGGTTCTCATTAAGGAGATGCTTATGAGGTGAAAAAGGTTGGGGAGCACTGGTGCAAACACAAATGGGCACGGTCACATGGTCATTGTTGTATATAGTTCTGTGATTCTGATTACAGTCCACAGATGTACGTGAAAATACAATGAAAAAAAAACCTTTCAGGCCCATCTCCACCGTTCTAACTAATGGGCCAAAAGGGGCTTTCATGGAGTGATTCAAAATGGCCGCGGGGGCTGGAAAATGTGAAAAAACACATCTGTGCATGAGTCAGCTGCAGGACCCCCATTCATTTAAACGAGAGACTTCTAAAGTCCACAGCGACTAAACTAGACTGGTCCAGAACACTCAGCATTGACACACATGTGGAACGGAGCTTTGGGCCAAGAGACAACTTTTGGACCATCCTGTAAAGATGTTTTTGAGAGGTCAGATAATGCTATATGTTAGCATTGGCTAATTCTTATTCCGGGTCCACCCCCACAGGCCCGGGGTGGTATTGCAGCATATCAGCGTACGTCATTTTGGCCACTTTTGAGCCGGGACCCGCCCACACTGGTTCAGTACCACAAAGTACCTTGGTGGAAAAATGTATTAACATGATCTATTATGGAGGGCCGAAGATCAAGTAATGACAAAAGTAATCACAATTTCTAACAACCAAAAGCTTATTTGATGAAGATCAGGAGCTATGAGAGCAGGAAATTGAAGCCAAATGACCAAAGAGCCAATCAGGAGCGATGGTCTTTTTCCACTTGCTGCTAAAGCTAAACTCATGTATGACAGTTCATACTAAACTCACAATTCTTTAGTTCAACTAATAATTGGATGACAGCATTAAACTCTATTTTTCTGAGAATTATCCCAAATTAATTTCTGGGAACGAGTACACCACTTTGTTGCTGTAACAATTTCCGGCGTATTCCTGATAATTGTTCTGTTGTTCTCAAGAGCGCAAAAAAACCTGTATTACGTGTACAATCATGGACAGGTGATAGCTTGTGCATATTACAGCGAGCCCAGGCCTCTCCGAGCGTGACCAAATCTCTGCATGGTACATTGATTTAAAAGTGCACATTTATTTCAGCCCACTGAGAAGTAGTCAGATTCAGTCAAAAAGCATTTTCATCCTGGTTTACTACCGCCACCGATGTGCTTGACCTTTTGCGACGTCTTTGTTCAAACCAATGGCCCCTCAAACATTATGACACCCATTTGGAGCAATGCAGGTCAAAGCGAGCCCAACCACCCATCGATAAGCAAAACACAGGCTTTGTGCTTTTGTGAGAGACATGAAAAGATTGGAAACATCAATGCACAGTAGGAGGGCTGGAAAGAGTGGCAACAGTTGAATCTGTGGGGAACCAAATTGCTAATTGTAGTTGGTATTTCATGACATATTTCTTTGCAGAATGTTGTGTTCCTGGGTTATTTTAAGAAGGATGAATAGTGAAATATCAATCATTAACACAAGAGACGTCTGCTAAATCGCATTGACGGACAACACTTGACGCCTGTGTAAAGCAAATTCCCAGCTACATATGATTATTCTATTGTAATGACTCCTTATAAGACCCTCTGATGTAATAATTCTATCTACACTGTCAGATTGTGTCAGATTGGTCATCGTGATTTTTAGCTGGGAATTATTCTATATCTTGAGCACTGTATTGTAATATGCATGATATGGTCACGTATCCCCTATGCATGCTGTTATATTTTAATTTGCATTTGGTATAAAGTAGGCCAACATCCATGGAAGTGTCAGTGAGTCAATGAACTCCCATTGTGTTTTCCTCAATGCCATAAGGGATGGATAGTGGATGATTATGCAAATTAATACACAGGTATTTATGGACACCAAGAGCTATTTTCTGGTGGGTGGTTGTCGAGTGAATGAAAGCCATATAATAAAAAGTTCTGTATCTAAGCTTGTTTTTTCTCTAATTGTCTAAACCTTGAGCATTTCTCATTTCTACTTTGAGTATTTAGGGTCCTGACAAAGAACACACAACACTGACAGTTTGTGTATTGTTCTCAATGTTGAATTGATGGGGCTGCAAACAGGAGCTCGAACTACAGTAAGTGACCTGTTTATGTCTTCAGCTGCTCAGAGTATGTACGCCTTAAAGTGATTGTCTGGAGTTTGTCAGAAAAAAGAGAGAGAGGAACAGGATTTGAAAAAAAACGACGCAAGCTCCTCCCCCTTCCTTTCTGATTGGTCTACACCTACGTTTCCGTAACACTTTTAAATGTTAATCTGAGAACACATTATACATATACATTATTAATACACATGCACGGAGGTTTTCAGAATTATTTGTGAACGTTTTCATGACAAAAATAATAATGTTTTAATGCACAACAAAAAGCGATCGCGGTAAACCCGGAAGTAGCTATTAACGTTGATTGAACATTATAGGAACATCTGCAGAGGATCTGATTATGGATATAGGTTCAGTATATAAATGATTATGGATATAGGTTCAGTATATAAATGATTATGGATATAGGTTCAGTATATAAATGATTATGGATATAGGTTCATATATAAATGATTATGGATATAGGTTCAGTATATAAATGATTATGGATATAGGTTCATATATAAATGATTATGGATATAGGTTCATATATAAATGATTATGGATATAGGTTCAGTATATAAATGATTATGGATATAGGTTCATATATAAATGATTATGGATATAGGTTCAGTATATAAATGATTATGGATATAGGTTCAGTATATAAATGATTATGGATATAGGTTCAGTATATAAATGATTATGGATATAGGTTTATATATAAATGATTATGGATATAGGTTCATATATAAATGATTATGGATATAGGTTCATATATAAATGATTATGGATATAGGTTTATATATAAATGACTATGGATATAGGTTCAGTATATAAATGATTATGGATATAGGTTCAGTATATAAATGATTATGGATATAGGTTCATATATAAATGATTATGGATATAGGTTCAGTATATAAATGATTATGGATATAGGTTCAGTATATAAATGATTATGGATATAGGTTCATATATAAATGATTATGGATATAGGTTCAGTATATAAATGATTATGGATATAGGTTCAGTATATAAATGATTATGGATATAGGTTCAGTATATAAATGATTATGGATATAGGTTTATATATAAATGATTATGGATATAGGTTCATATATAAATGATTATGGATATAGGTTCATATATAAATGATTATGGATATAGGTTTATATATAAATGACTATGGATATAGGTTCAGTATATAAATGATTATGGATATAGGTTCAGTATATAAATGATTATGGATATAGGTTTATATATAAATGACTATGGATATAGGTTCAGTATATAAATGATTATGGATATAGGTTCATATATAAATGATTATGGATATAGGTTCAGTATATAAATGATTATGGATATAGGTTCAGTATATAAATGATTATGGATATAGGTTCAGTATATAAATGATTATGGATATAGGTTCAGTATATAAATTATTATAGATATAGGTTCATATATAAATGATTATGGATATAGGTTCATATATAAATGATTATGGATATAGATTCAGTATATAATGGAGGATTGATTCGGAGGCTCCATGAAAACAAACAACTGAGCATGAGCAGCTACGAGCATCAGCGCTGTGATTGACAGCCCTTGGCATGACTCGATTGGTTAACGTGGACGGCATCGTGGATTCTGAGCTATAGCTAAGAGAAGGGAAGGCGGGACTTAGTCGTAATATTAGAATTAATAAAATGACTTATTTTATATCAACATTTAAGGCCAGGAGGTCAATTTAACACAATTCTTAAAATTTGTAATTCATTTAGAGTTCCAGACTATCACTTTAAGAACGCAGGGGTAAAAAGTATCATACTTTAAAGTGCACATCTGTGGAAGCCATAGATTTTTTTTCATAGTGAAAATATGTCACTGACTTTTTTTGTAAACAAGATCAATGTTTATTTGTATGTGTTTTGTAAAGCGTCTTTGAGTATCCAAAAAAGCGCTATATAAATTTGATGTATTATTATTATTATTATAATTATTATCAACACAACCATAGTGTAATATTAGACCCAGAATATCTTCTATGTTGGATAAATTATACAAACTGAAGAAATCCATTACATTAAACATCCTTACTATTATGCCTATAAAAATTGGTCTGAGAGCTAGACACAAAAAGAGTCAAATCTGACTCCAGAACCATAGGTTCTAGACCTCTAAATGAGTTTTTATATAAATATGTAAGTCTATTTTCACCACTGTTGTTGTAGTTTGTCATAATAAGTTCAATCATAAAACAGCGTGGGCATGTGGCCACAAACATAACAGTATATTTCTGTGGCTTCCTTGTGCCACTGTTCGTCACTGATCCGAGGTCTGTGTGGACATGAGGTGTTAGGGAGCAGCTTCTTGTCTGACAAACAGACACTTTCATCAATAATGCAATGCCTTTCTGCCGTTATGCCAGCAGCATCAGCATTGTAGCAGCCGCTGCTGGAGCTTTGGAGAGCTTTGGAGAGCACTTAAGAACCGAAGGCAGATCGACCAACTCAGTGAGGGACCTCAGGGCCACAGTTACCCCAGCCCTCTCGAGCAGAAGGGAGCCGCGACGTGGAGTTCAAGAGAACACCTTAGACTCTTAGGGACTAATGGGAACAAAAAGGTGGATCTTGTTTAATGTGTGCATAACCTGGGTGTTCTTATTTCTCCTTTCATTCTGCTTTAACATGAACAACAATAACATTGACTGAGGGACAAGAAAAGGTGATCTTATCTGGACAGGTTTCTGCATTGAGAGTGAGAGTAACTGTTTTTAACATCAGAACATAATGAGCAGCATGTTGTTTTGCAGCAAAGGAAAAAACATCAAGAGCAGACAACCCCAAAAAACACGACAGTACCCAGTCCACAGTCTGTGATAAGTGCAGCCTTCAGCCACAATGAGCTTGTATGCCTTTTACAAGAGACACACTCATCCTCAAATAGATGAGGAGCTCATTCAGAGCTGATGAGGCTGATGTGAAACCATGAGTTTATTTCCAGTATCACGAGGTTATTACAAAGCTATCATAGAAAAAAAAACCTACTTTCTACTTTAACATGCTACTCAGGCTTTCCGAGGTGGGCTAAGAGTGTTGTCCCAGAACACAGCTACACCATTCACCTGCTGACTCTATCTTTATGTTGTATTCATTATGAGGTGATTAAAAGCAAGAAATTATGCTCTAATTTCCCTGTCCAAAGATACAGGGGGCTTTCCATAAACATGTGTATCTTCCAGCTGGAGAAATCGAACAGCCCGTGTGCTCATCTCTGCGATCTGTCAGGTTTGTTTCCTTTTGAAGCACGGAATCATTCACACAACACCTGCTTCTCCCACAGCGAAGCTCTGCTCCAGCTCCTCTGACGTGGGTCTACTCCACACAGCCCAGATCCGTGACTATACACCCTCCACAATAACATAAATAGATACAACAGCAACAAAAAAAACACACACACACACACATAAGAGGATGAAACCAACCTGATCTTGCCCTCCGGTGGTAATTCATGTGGAGGGTTGTCACATAGCAGGCGCACTTCTCCCTCCAGCAAGTAGAGGCAGACACACTCCTGTGAGGAAACAGGTGAAGCTTACAAGGAGAAAATAGTCCTTTCTTTAATCAGCTTTTATTCAAACGAGACATATTATGCTATTTTGAGCTTTAAAAGAAGCTACGACTTTGTTCCCCGGCCAAAGATTTTATAGTTTAACATTTAATGAGGCAATACATAGATACATACTGTAGATACATGTATTAAGATAAAACATAATATTGAGGCATTTTTGTGTCACTAATACAATTACAGAATAAAATCCCTATGTTTGATTTTTATTTTTACATTTAAATGCATAATATGAAACAGCAATATAAGCAATAATGAGAAAGCCAAGTAAGTGATTTACAAAAAAAATGTTACTAGAGAAAAATAAATGTACGACAATAAATATTGAGCCCCAACATACATTCATCCATTGGTGATTGATAAGTTGATTGGCAGTTTAGTTATTGTGAAGGAGTTATTATCCATATAGGTGGTTACTTTGTTTCGGCCGTCTAAAAAGTGCAGTACATTAGTCGAGCAATGGGGGCACTGTGAGGCAGACACCCGCGACTCTGCTCATCGTCCACATATCCCTCCTCGGAGCGCTCTGTCTGCCCGCAGAGTTCACTTTATTCCCCTCTGGTGTCGTGCTGCCGTCCACAGGGAAGTGTCATGTTTGTTGTGGATAGCTTTTGTGTGCTGATATTGAAAGCATTCTCGCTGTGGCGCTTGAGTGAAGTAGAGGAAGGACTCTGAGTGGCAGGATTTTTACTTCCAATCAATACAATAGTACTTCATCATGCGTGGCACCCAGAAGTTTAGTGGCATTTACAGTGACATCTCATAGTTTCTCACGCATTCTTAGTGGCATGTCACTGATAAAAAAGTCCACTCAACTTCTACATGCCACTGAAAACGCCATTGGTAGAAATACAATAGTACCCCATCATGTGTCTGCTGGGTCTAATTGTCTAATCATGCAGCTACAATACATTCATGCAAACAAGACAATGAATATATTTCTACACCATTACATAACCATACAATTTGTGTGTGTGTGTGTGTGTGTGGTACCGTGGAGGGCAGCAGGTCCCGGACACTCTCTTGTACTGCGTTCCGAAGTGAGCGCGCATCCACCGCGGCCGCCAGACGCAGCAAAGCATCCTGGGAAAATAAACAGAATCGCATCAACACTTGCTTATGTGCTCAGATTCACTTGGCAAGACACACACACATGAAGACAGTCAATGAAGATTCTATTGACGCTCACTGAAGTTTAACAATATGTCTTAAGGGACTTGATGATTTGGTGGATTATTTTTAGGCTTAAATATGGAATGGATAGGAGATTAGACCAAATGCATGTTTCTAGTTGCTGCTGTTTTGGAGAGAACTCAGCCTCTAGGGGCCGTTTGAAAAGACGATGGTTATCTTAATTGGATTCACTCTGTGAGAAGCCGGATTCAAATGAACACTTGATCTGCTTTTATCTGGGATGACATGTGTCTTTTAAGATGCCATTGCTGTGCGCCTCGACACAAAAGGACCTACCATCAAGACGTCAAAAAACGCTTCTGTCTTTTTACTTAAGATTAAAAAGAATTATTTATTTCGATATTGAAAAGAGAAAAAATGTTATAATTTGCAGGATGATTTGCCTTTAGTAGACAAGTTGAAAGGATTAAGCTTAAATTGGTCGATTAAGCACAGTAATTGAGATTCAATGGACTCTAGAGATGTGAGGCAAAAAAATATGTTTCTACAAAACAGAGTTTAAATGAAGTAGATACAATTAACTTGCAACACTGCGTAAAACACTGTTACCCATTAAAGAGGCAATGAAAGGGCAATCTATGCCCATTGCTTCTACATTAATGACCACAGTAAATGCTTACCCTAATCTCCCCCTGAACCAAAAACAATTCCATATTTTTTGTGAAAGAGCTCGAGATCTACTGGAACATAATATGTTACTTAGAGATTTATAGGTCTATGTGTTTTTTATCGTTACATTTCCTGTGTTTGAACCGTTTGATCCGTGTTGGCAAATTGAAGTCCACTGAGATAACTACTGTTTGATTAATTTTTTTGTATGGCCTTAAATCAAATTGAATTGAATACAGAATACACTGTTCTGATAACATATATATGGAGCTAATGTCAATTTTCCCTTCAAAGTGAGAATATTGACGTCAAAATTTTGAATAACACAAACTTCAATATTTAACTTGATTTAAATGTGTGAGGCATATGATAATTTAAAGAAGCTATACCCGATTTATTTTCTAATGAGTTCATAAAAATGTGTTTTACTACATACGAGTTGTATTAAAATCCATAATTTAATGTAAAACTTGAGCTCATTGATTCAGCTGTGTATGAATTCAGGCCGTATAAAAGTGCTGAGTAGAGACTTAGCGTGGCGCCCGCTCTCCTCCAATCACAGAACGAGGCTGCGTCCTCTAGCCTCTACAGCGCTGCTAAACACAGTAGCATGTTAGCATAAGTGGCTATAACTCCTCTGGCTGTAACTGCAGACACAGCAAAACAGCCCAAACCACACAACAGTGAGGAAGAGAAGAGGAACTAAAGCCACGACATGATCAAAGAAGAAACCAAGCCCGGGTGAACTTACGTAACCGCTAGCGTTAGCTTTCCGTTAGCTTACATGGCATCCTCTGGAGAGACATGTATTTGTTAGCAGTGCGTTGCTTTTGTACCATTTCATCAGTGATTGTTGTACAGCTTACAAGAAGTTGCGCTAATGCTAATGTTTGCATATGTGTCAGATTAAACTATATGGCTGCGTGGGATAAGAGCGTAGGAGAAATGAGAAGTCTGTGAGCGAGTTGAGGGCGGAAATAAACAATCAAACTGAGACAAACGTATGAGAAACAGGTATAGCTCCTTTAACAAAACAATGAGACAACAACATCTCCCACTGTATAGATCAGATGTGATGAAACAGAAGAATGGGAGAGATCTCCTCGGTAACAAGTACTGGCTGGTGTTTGATGTGATTTTATCCAAACGAACTGTCCTGTTGTTTCATTTCATTTTAAAATAAACAAAACTCATCACACAGTGTGTAGTCCAGTAGACCAAAACAACTAGTAAGAAAAGAAGCCTGCTGCAAAAACTAATGACACAGTCAGCCTATATTACATTATTACGTACATTTGCTACTTTCCACACTGTAAAAACTGTACATTTACTCAAAGATTGTTTTTTAAGACAACATCCTCATTCAAGTCACTGAGGTGTCTGTCTTTATCATTTCCACTTCTGCTTATCTCCTCCCTGCATTATTACTGTCTGCACAGTGTTAAGGAGAACTTCACCTCTGCTTATACAGCAGATTAAAAGTATCTGTTGGATTTAAATTGGACAAAGACCAGAGGGATAATGAGATGGGGTTTTGCCCAAAAATGTCAGTTCTGTTTCCAAATCATTGTGTTCTGTGCTCATGAACCCTCGCTTATTGTTCCTTTCTGATGTCTGCGCAAAAGCCCCTGCAGCTTAAGGCGTTGATCTAATAAAACACGTTTCCTCCCCCTGGCTTTGCACATGAAGTAAACATGAATATTAACTGATTCTGAGTGAGGAATGAGTAAAGAGTCTTCCCGTCGTTCCCAAGCAGCCGACTTGCTTATTACTGACGATTAGACGAGATTAAATATGATTAGCTTTTCATCACTTAATCAAGTTGCCTGGAGTGCTGTTGAGAGCAAAAATGGTAAACCTAAACACCGAAAGTTTTGAATCTCCAAAAACAAACAAAAAACGGCAATTCAAACAGGTAGAGTGAGACTTGTTGAGTGGCCCGCTGGATTGTCAACGCCTCATGGTATTTGTAAACTGCACGTCGCAAGCAATAAGGCATGTCCCGAGGGAAATGTCAGAAGCCCTGTTATGACCTTTCACACTCATTTCTTGACGTCAGGACAAAATCCCAGCACTTGTCTCCCATAATCCCTATTGCATACAGGCCACCTGGTACTGGCAGCTATGAAATATGGACATTTGCACTTTCAATTTCTTCATCATCATGTTTCTTACAGATAGTTTTCAAATTGTGAGGAAGGTGTTGCCCTCATCCAGGGACCAAGGAATTGTTTTCCGTACGAACGTCTTTACAGGTTTCAGCAGGAAACTTGAGGCAACTTGTTTCTGTTTTTCGCAGCAGCTGAAGAGTGACTGACTCTTCACAATTGACCTTAGCGGACGTCAGATTATTTTGGTATCGACTGGGCTCGGCTAGTACCAGGGCCAAGCCATTACCAAAAAAACTACCGGGTAGCGGCTAAAGCGAGCCGGTCGAGTCAAGTCGGGCCTGTGAAAACGGCCCTAACTAAGGTAAAGAATGCTTTGTATACACAGATATCTTTCATGTATTATTAGTAATTATTACTACTGCCCCAAAGGTAAAGTTACCATCAGCGTTTGTTTGTTTGCGTGATCCATTAACCAAAAAGTTAAGGAAGGATTTTTATGAAGGCGCCTCTTGGCAGAGGTCTGCGCTGTACGTGCTTTTCCATAAAAATCAAAATGCAAACTTTGATTTTTCTTTTTTGAAATAAATGAATTTGCCCAGGTCTGGGTTAGACCTTCACAGACACTTCATCTATGCTTCGTAAAATGCATTTAAATCCTTGACAGACAGATAAGCTTATTTAATATGTAATTTTCTTTCATCTGATCAAGTTATAGGGCACAAATAAATTAGTAGAACCAACAGTGAGCCTGTTGGAAGCCTTTCTTTCTGGATACGCACCCATCTAGGGAGACCATAATTAAAATGAAAAAAGTTACAGTGATTTGGCTATTTTTGACAGAAGGTGTTTTTCAGCACAAAAACAGGCAGGTGCAGTCCTCCCTCTGCTTTACAGCTCTGTTCAGGTCGCTGTAATCTACACGAGGCGGTTAATGGCACCATTCCCATCCAGTATAATCCTTGTGTACACATATTAAATTGATGTATAGATTCGGCAACAAAAGGTCAAACTAACATTTAAGTATAATTACACGCAGCTTTCAGTTGGATCGATGTGCTACCTCATCCGGACAGCCCCACTCAGCATTAGTAAGACCCTGCTGCTGCTCAGAATGCACACTTGTCCTGTGTTTAATCTGGGGAGAGAGTGGTTTCTTATGCTAATTAGTTGTGTTAGACCCTGGAGTAACACAAAAATAATGCACGAAATGGTGAGTGTGACACAAACGGTTGCTGAGCTCGAGGAATTCACTTTTCGATGTAGTTCAAGGAGCGAGAGCGAGTTAGAGCAAAACTTTGTCCATGAACATTGGGGGGTAAGCATTGTTTATCTACATACATTACAATATTACATTACATGATCTTTTATAACTGTCATACTTAAAAGTGCATGTTGTGTATTAAAGTAGGTCGCTAAATTATCTTTTGTCAATTCAAGCCACATCAGATGAGGTTTGAAATCGGGCACATAATCACTATATTATTATTATTATTAATCAGTTCTTTATAGCCAACATATGCAGATCAGGACAAAACAGTCAAACCCATCCAACCATACATTTTCTACCCCTTAATCCATTTCTGCACATTTCTACACAGAGCACCAGCCCCTCACTGATCCTCCAGCAGGTGGTGAGTCCACAGGAGGATGCCCGCTCTATGGTATAGCCTTGATCTTTCAGGCAAAGTGGGGTTAAGTGTCTTGCCCAAGGACACAACGACAGCAGTCATCAGTGGGAGTCGGTAGAGAAGGTCTCATGGTGGGATCGAACCCACGCCCTTCAGGCTCAAAGACCAGTGCTTTACCAACTGAGCCACTGCCACCCACAGTCAAACTACACGGCAAAAAGTGATGAAGGAAAAAAATCAAGAAATTGCTGAAATTTGACAAAATGGATCTTGATTTGAGCACATTTCGACTGTGTCTCCTTTGGAATGAGAAAATTAAGGAACAGTTCTCAAATCTATCAGAATGTCCCCAAATTAAGATACAAACCACTTGATTTTAGAATTCAATTATATTTTGTATCATTTTTTGAAGTGTAGTTCCTCCCCTGAATAGATTTCACAGCATTAACAGTATGTACAGTTTTCTCTGTAGTAATTATTGTCACGAGGTGTAAATGAGGAAGACTCAAAATAAAGCTTTTAATAAAACAAAGTCCAAGGCAAAGAACAACTCCAAAAATCCTAAGTGACCAGGACAAAACTAGACAAGACAATGCAGCAGCAACAAGGGGAGAGAAGCACAGGGCACATATAGACACAGACACAGGTGAAACACATCAGGGCGGGGCAGACAATCAAGACAGGGGCAAACAGGACATGGAAGTAAAACTGAAATGAAACCAGATAACTAATGTCAAAATAAAAATAAAACCAAATACAGAAATAAAAAGCCACACCATGACACTTCTGACCCTATTAGCGCGTATCAAACTGCTTCTTTTGCCCTGGTGCAGTGGTATGTAAATGTGATGCTTATCGAGCTGCTGTCAAACACAGCTCTGTCAGGTCTGCTCACAAATGTTCACCGTCCCGGACCTTAAACCCGCTCCTTTCCCAGTCATGTGCCATTTCCCTCGAGCACCACACTCATAAATCTGAGCTAATAGACGAGAGGAAGACCGGGAGTAAGTCTTTTTGCGGACGGCGAGCTGAGCAGATTAATTAAGTCTATGGACACAGCGCTAGAGGGCTAACCGTACATGAGCACCAGGATGATGCCAAGATCACTCCGAACTTACACCAAGTAGGACATAGTCATTCTTTCAAAGATTTTCCTCGGTGTGCATGAAAACGCCCGGAGTTGCATTTATTAGCTATTCTCTTTCCTGCCGAAGCGATTTTGAGATACATACAAAGCGCAGTGTTTGAAGCTGGGTTAAAACACGCTCCGGCTTTCATCTCCGTCTGAACGCTACAGCCGTAATT